GTTATTCGAAAACCGTCACTGATCGATTAAGGATCATATATTTATTCTAACAAAATTATACTATTCCATTCATTGCCAAAAATCTTCTTATAAGTAACCTCCTAAGCTAGGCCCCTCTTTTGACTTTATTATATTCAATATCTGACAATCCCAAGGCTCATTTCATTATTCATTTCCTTATTTAATTTCAGTAAGCCTCATCTGATGTCCACTGCAATAGTTAAACTTCTCTATCTACTCGGATATGTATGTATTTACATATATCTTTCTTGGATTCTGTCCTTTTTCTTGGAAACCAATTAAAGATCTCCCCTACCCATCACAAATTAAATTGAGAACCCTTAAATTTTCTTTCTGCCCATTTCTGCTCTCAAAAAGAAGAATGTCAAAAGAAAATATGGATTCGAATCGGGAAAGTGCTTGTCTAAAGCATTATCAAATTGAGTTCTGCAAAATATTCCATCCGCATTCAAATGGCCCAAAGGAGAATGCACAAAAACATTGTTTTCATTTCATTTTTGATCAAATTGAGATTGAGATTGGACCGGACGACCAGCAGGACAAAGTTCATGGCTGGCTGGTAGCCAAAGGGAGCGGGAAAGTGAAAAAATGCTTGAAAAATTGCCAATTTAATTAAAAGAAAAATCCCTTAAACCGAAACAGACTCCAAGGAAAACAGTAAAACGAAGTACGACACAAGGCAAGGCAGGAAAATGGCAAAGAAAACTAAAAGTACAGTCTGAGCAGTCGAGGGCCTGAAGATTGAATGAACCTAACGGATAAGCCGGAAAAACCGAATGAAACAAAAAGGTACAGGCTGTGAAGATTGCAGAATGTTAGGGGTACAGTCGCAAAAACGGTACAGCCTGTACACCTGAAGGAACGAAATGAGATGAAACGTAACGAAGCGAAGGGAGTTCAAGTGTTGGGGTGCAGGGCGGTTAACAGTTAAAATTGCATTTCCTCGGGGAATTCCCTTCCTAGAGGGGGGTATGGAATGCCAACAGCTGATGGGGAATCGGCACTCCGTTCGACGAATGTCCCAAGCAAAACAGAACCCCCAAAAAACGCATTCTCTTTTGGCACTGGCCGGGGCGCTGCGGAGCGTGGCGGGGCGGGGCGGGGCACATGGGTTTTCGCCGAAAGAAAAAGTAGCCAGCCAGGCGCCGGCCCGGCACTTGGCGCCGGCTTGCCTGGGATCACATCACTGCAATGACGACCCGACCCACAAAAAAAAAGCCCAGAAGCACATAGAAAACTCGGCAAAACTTGCTTTTGCTTGAAGATTACCTTCTAATCGTAGGCTAGCCGGGTATATAGGCCTTTGCAGAAGTGCGTGGCTATTGTCCTTTATTCATCCAAATCTGAGAGTTTTTTTCCATCATTTTGGGAGTTCTGTGGCCACTGCGTGTCTGGTGGAATATAAAGACTATAAATCCTGGTAGCGGGGTATCCTAATGGTCGGCATACCGCCCTCGACTGCTGGCATTCCTTACAGTTTTCTTTGGGGCAGAGCCGCAGACAAAACTTGCCATTCCTTGGCCACAAATTCAATTTACGTTCATTTGTGAAAATATTGTTTGCTGTCCTACGGCCCTGTGCTTCTCCGTATACTCTCTGCTTTCTATTTCCCATTCGCCTATCCACACACCACACCACACCACACCACACACACTCTAGTGCTCGTCCTCGTCCTCGGCCTCGTACTGGCAGACAGTTGGCATTTTTAATTTGCACTGCCGTTCGAAATTGCTTTTGAAATGGCATTTTAAAAATTTAATTGCCAGGCTCCCTCTCTGCCTCGCTTCCCCCTCTGCCCCCGCTTCACACTCTTCTGGCCGCCCCACTGCTCCTTGAAGGAGGAATGCCCCGCGGCAGCGAGTCTGAGGAGTGTCCATTAAGGCAACTGCCAGTGCTGCCCCAAGTTGCAAGTCAGGAGCTGTGTAGCGACGTTCTCGTTTCCGTTTCTGTGTCATGTTTGTCAAATTGACTGAAGACCCCCTTCATTCCTTCATTCCCGGCCATTCCTTGGGCCTCCTTGATGTCCTGCCGCGGTCCTGTCTGCGTCTGTTTACGCAGTTGTTGGTTACCTCTCGCTGACGCTGCCCGAATGCCCTCCCTCTCTCTATCTCTCTTAAAAGGAGGACTCGGAGGAGTCAGAGAAGACGAAGTGAGTCCATGACCATCTCATTTCCGAGGGTTTCCCAATAAAGATGACGGTAACTGTTCAGAGGAAATGCAACTAAAACGGAATTCAATTGACATTTGCTATCGACACAGGATGAAGGATGGAATCGCTAGAGCCCAGCCCATTATTTGGGGATCTTCCAAGACAGTTCCATTAGCAGCATTCCCATCCCACCTTTCCCGTTTTCGCATTCCAGGCGAATGGTCCCCATAGCCGTTCGTTTATGGGATATTTGTATAATCTCTTGGGACTCCATTCCGATCTTTGGAGTCCGGACTATCTAATGTCTGTCGTAGCTGTCTTTAGTTTTGGCCAGCTTGCACTTTTTCCCAAGAAAAACTGTCAAACTTTTCCACATTTTCCTTCCAGCCTTCCGGTCTTCCATTTGAAAGTTACGCAGTCTGACAGGCGCTGACGCAGCCCAGGGATGCTTGAGTTGCGTTTCAGAATCAGATCCCGTGGCAGCATCAAAGTGGCAGAGCAGAAATCACTGCAAATGGCGTTGGACATTTCACTGACAGATTCTGTGCCGCTTTGTGGCATGTTGAACCAACCACTTGACGCGGCGGCTGACAGCCACAGGAGAAGTGGACGCTTCCAAGGCTAAAAAATAATATTCCCAATTGCAATTATGGCCGCAAGTGATTGATATGGAAGCGCATCCAATTAGCGACTGTTCAAAAGATGAATGATAGCTGATTACACTGAGAAAAACAAACATTTAAATATGATGTACACTGCTCAAACACCCCTCGCCATTGCTAACGACCTCAACGGAATTGATTGATATGTGCCTTAGCTCGTGAAACCCATCTAGTTTCAGGTGATTCATGACTCATTCAGGTTATACCCACAAGGCATTTGGGATTAAAATTCAATAATTTTGAACGGGAAATGTCCAATAGATAACGCTTGATAAATGGCTTTCAGATGGAGAAGGTAGGGAAGGGACGGAAAAACCCATTAGGGATCTATATTCATAGATCTATCAATATTCTGCTGAACAAACCTAAGACCTGTGGCTTGCCACGTAGCTCCAAAAACCCTGCTTCTGTCTCCCTCTGTTGGCCCAGAGACCGCCTTAAATATTGAAACCTTTTAAAGCGGCATACCATGCCATATGGTCCGTTGTAAAGCGACTGTACACGGCTCCTGTGTCGCCTTAATTATGCACACGAGTACTCACGTTGCTCCACCGCTGTGCTCTGCCTTTGGAAAAAGGGGCTTACAAAATAAACCCTTTTAAATACCAAGGAGAACGCAACGCAATCCTAATTGTCATAATCACGGAGCAGCGCATCGCAGAGACACTCGAATGTCCTTTGCGGCGTCAAAAATTAAAACGTGACACAAATTACTCGCTCGAGTTTCAGGCTGTGGCCTGGGGGCTGGGAGCTGGGGGGCTGGGAGCTGGGGGGCTGTGCCCCTCCTCAAATGCCATTAACCAGTAGAGCAGCAGCTGGCCCTCTCAAAGGGAGGGCCGGGCCTTGTTTTGACAGCCGCACTGCGCCTGTCCCGAGGGGGCTAGGCTCCTTCTCCGTCCTGTCTCCGTCTCCGTCTCCGCCTCCGTCTGGGTCTACGCGACGATGGATGTAATTCCCCATGTGAGTACGGTTCGTCCCACTCCCCACTCCCCAATCCTTAGCCGCACCTCGGGGAGCCTTTGTTAATCATTTTTTTTCTCTCCTCTTTTTTTCGCAGATTTCGCACGCACGCACATGTCCTGCGTGAAAGGAGGGACTTTCAGGGGGACTTTGGGACCCGGGCACTGGGCCACATCCCCATCATTTGCATATGTATACTATATATGTACCTATGTGGCTCGGACGGGGCTGCACCTGCCCCGGGGGCAAGCTCTGCTGCTTTCTTTTATGATGATTGCCGGAATGTAAATTTGATTTAGGACCCTCTGTGTGTGCACATAACGAGGTCCCAGGTCCCAGGTCCCAGGACCTAGGGTCACTTTAAGCGACAGATTCCGAGTGTCTGTCTGTACGTCTGTCTTTGGGGCCACATCAAATTGATGAAAGGCAGGAAACTGATTTCATTTGAATAATAAATACTGGATTATCGGATGGTAGGCTAATTCCAACTTTTAGGATCATTAAATACTCGTATATTCCCACATAATTGACTTAACCACTGAATAAATATTCCAAATACATATTAAATTAAATATTTACCTACGAGTGGCTGCTGTGTTTACTATATATGTACATATGTATGTACATATGGTATGCTCACAGATTCGAGAAGTCGAAAGAAAATTAGCTTCCACCATATGTTGGGGACCACCATATGGAGGAGGGGGCATGGGGCACGGGGCATGGGGCATGGGTATGGAACTTTCACACTTGCTTAGACCTCCCTATTCCCTAAATGGCCTTCCAGCCCTTCCTCCGCCCCCTTCTCTTCGCATTCGCTTTTTTTCACAAGCCAACGCGCGCCATTAGCAGCTGCTTGGGACCGTGTTCCTCTCTCCGGGCGAGTGGCGACGGATAAGGAACACCAGGCGCCCGCCCGTTTACCCGTTTGCCCGTTTGCCCGTTTGCCCGTTCGCTAATAGAAAACGGCAATCAAACTGGAAGTAAACTTTACTTTCCGACCCGACGCACGGATACCCTAGCGAAGTCCTTGGCATAAGAGATTAACAGATCGACTCCTTGTTTAAATCTGTTCCAGAATATTTGATTAAGGGCAGCCCTCTGGTCCACGTTGCCAAACGCTGATCGAAGCTATCATACCCACTACCCTCACCAATACCCAAGCATACGAGGAGTAGGGCAAAAGGCACACTGCACACTGTACTCACCTCAAGTCACGGGCACTTCAGCTTGTTAGCGACGCGGAAGGACACGGCACGGCGGAAACGCCAAGATCTCTCCAATCACATCCGAGTGGCGTCTGCGGTGGCGGCGGCTCATCAAAGAGGAGGACGAATGCTGGCTGCCAGACACTTTCGGTTTTATTGCCGGCTAAATTCAGAGTTGGCAATGAATTGGCAGCAGGCAGCAGGCAGTCTGGTTGGGTTTTCTTTTAAAGAGAGAATTGAACAGCATGAGAGAAACTCGCCCTCGTTAATGTTGTTGCTTTTGCCCTAACGGTTGCCAGCGCAACTTCTGGAAGCAACAAAAAACTTGGCCAACAGGAACAACAAGGACAGCAGCAACGTCAGGTGTGAGATGTCAGCCGCCCCCAAACGCGCACTCACTCACTCCCTAAGCCACACACACAAGAGCACACACACATATGTAAGTGTGTACGCCCACACAAGGAGTCGGAAAGTGTAAATAGAGTAATAAAAAGAATGTAGGGAAATGAAACAGGAAAAGGAAGGTGTGTTCGCACAAGGTGGGCCCAGTTGCATACAGCAGCCAGGGCCAGCGCCAGTGGCATACCTTGCTTGCAAAACACCTTGCACGCGGCCAAAGGAAGGAAGGCAAAAGAGAACGAGGAACAGGAACTAAGAGCGTTGCTCGTTAGTGAGTGCGAGAGAGAGCCTGTGCGGAGAACCAACAACAAACTTTCGCCTTTTTGTTTATTTCACACACACACACATGCACGCACACAAAAAAAACCTAGAGTCACAGACACTTTTCCAGGATGCGGCGTTTTAAAATCCCTCAAAAATTTGCATTTCCGCATTTTATTTATTTGATAATTTTTTGTTTTTCCAGCGCCACGATAAGAGAAACTGTGTTTTTATCTTTGTGGGTGGTTTTTTCTTCGTTTTCTAGCTATTTTTAACACGCACTTGCGTTATCCAGGCGCAGGCAGGCCAGAGAGACCAACTGTAAATCAACCGCGCAACGAAGCCCGCACCGACTCTAGGAAAAACGCGAATGGCCAGACGAAACGGAACGGAAACAAGAAGCCGCTGCTGCGACGGCCAGCGACGACGACAGCGACAGCGACGCCACAAAGCTCACAGCGAATGGCCAGACAGAGACGGAGACAGAGAGAGCACGGCCGATTGCAAGTTCTGCTTGTGCATATGGGGCCATGAGGCCATGGGGGCCTCTGCTGGCGACGCCCCAGCTGTTCTAACAGCGCTCTGTTCAGTTCTCGCTCTCTCTGCGCCTGTTAACCCAGCACTGTGTGAGGCGCAGTGGTGTGCAAGACTCGAAATAACGGTTCTTGAACAGATAAGAGCGGATGCATTTGCTCGCACAGTGGTCGTGGAGAGATTAGAACTTCGACGAGTCTGAAATGGAAATAAAATAAACATAAATTACAAGCTAGAAAAAATGTCTACAAAAACAAAATATTCAACGCAGGTAATAACTTATACAACGTCTCATTTTGTATGGGAGGATTTAATGGAAAAAGAAAACCATTGTTTCCTCAGTACTCTGCATTACCATATTTGTAGATAAATACCGATCGGTGAGGATATACTTAAAAGGTTCTTTCTGGTTTCTTTTATGGGGCTTTGCAAAGAAAATCATTCTTTAAAACACACCAATACCAATTAGAAAACTATATGTACTGTAACATTACCATATGAACTGTCGTTCGAAAGTTATTTTTACGTGTTTCATTAGGAAAATTTCATATTAAAACTGAGCTGCTATTAATTTTTAAATTTGAAATAATTCTTCAACGAATATGTTCATATGTATGTATGTACATATATATATCATTGTTCTGCTCTAGCTATTGGTATTAAAATTGTGATAAAAATAATTCAATGGTTGAGAGCAAAAATGTGAGCAAATTTGCAATAATGTAATGTAAGAGGAGTCCAGAATGTTAAAGATCTGGATAGATAAGTATTTATATTAATCGAACCGAAGTGTAAACCTTTTAATTATTGCATTTATTTGATTGCAGACTTGAACACGTTGAATACGTTATAAAAAAACTTACATTTAACTTAGGTATTAAACAGATTCTTTTTAGGGACTCTAAAGCTATCGGTCTCAAAGTAGTCGGGTATGTAAAATCTTCAAAAAATTCAGACTGGCCGAAAACCCCCCACTTCTTGTTCTGGGACTTTAACTAGATTTGATCGGGTTCTGTTCGATCTTAGGATACACAATTCTTTGGAGTGGCCGATATGGCAGTCATGATGCATATAGTAACCATTAAATGTCCATTCGAATCTCTTATTTGGTATTTCCGCCCATCCACGTCTACGGATCGATGAAGGAGATCATGATGTAGCGTGTGCCTTTGGTCACCAGCAGTCCCTCGTGGTAGTGGGTCAGTCGGCCAGGGTGCATAAGCATCCAGCCCTTCTTTGTCTCCGTCACGGAGCAGTTGTAGCGCAAGAAGCGGCACCCGCCTCCCTCGTAGTCGGTGTCCACCTGGTTCATGGCAATGTTGATGGTGTAGGTCGAGGCGTCGTGGTGGGGCCGCAGCGAGGGCTGCTCGTCGGGCCGATAGCGCACCATGAAGTTCATCAGCGCGCGAGGAGGCTGTGGGTGGGTTTAACATTAGCAATCCGATCTCTCGGGATCTATCCATGAACTCACGTTATGATAATAGCCGGTGAAGACGCGCTCCTGCAGGGGTCGCACAAACAGCTCCAGGAACTTCAGGTACAGCACCTCGAGGCCCACCTGCTTCATGTGAATGTCGCGCGTGGGCACTGCCTCGTAGCCGCCCTCCAGACGATTGTCATTGTTGCTGCCATCAGACCAGGTGCCGTGGTTCTCCATAATGGCCACCAGATCATCGCAGAAGGCGTCCGTCACGATCGCCATCCAGTACACATCCGGACACGGCTGCTCAATCACCGTGCTGGCGTTCAGCTGCTCCGAGTAGTTCGGATGGATGTACTTCTCGGTCCAGTCGTACCGATTGCTGAACAGCGTGTAGAAGTCGGGACGTGCCACCTTGGTGTCGAAGTTATCAGCATTGACCAAGTGCCCGAAGTAGCGTTGATTGCTAATGAACATGAATACACCCTGAAAAACAAAGCCGGAATTGGATTAGTATGTGAATTAAGGCCCCATCTAAAGCACCCAGCAAAAAGTGGATAGGAAAACGTTCAGCAGATAAGAGAACATTGGACTATCAATTGTGGGACAAAGAATGGGAAGTGTCTGTATACCAATAGGATCTTATATGTGACAAAAGGAAATACCAATCAGTAGGCATAAAGTACTTACCGCTTTTCGTAGCGACTCGCACATGGCCATATCGGCGTCGTATTCGCTATGCTGGAAGCTGAGGACGTCGAAAGCGCTGCTCCTCACCAGATAGATGCTCGTCACATGGGGCACGTTGAATATGCCGCTGTCGGAGAAGTGGAGAAGAATGGAGAGAACGAGAACTGATGAATAACCAGCCAAAAACACGGCGAGCCAGTGACAACACTCATTGCGCAGTGGATTCGCAACAAAGTTGCGAAATGGAAAGTGGCGTCGCACCCAACAGATCTGATCCCCCCATTTACTGCCCGTAATTCAATCAAAAGTGCCCGCATCCACGCTGAAGAACAGAGGGGGAAGACGACCCACGATGGGATGGGAGTGGAGTGGATAACGTGCCGTGCAGATGCAGAGCGCAGTATCAAAACAACATTCCCCGTTGACGATCGCCGATCGGAATCACGCGGCTCGACAATGACCAGTCTCTGTGGCCTCTGGAGCTGGAAGCTCAAGCAATCGTCTCTCCTCGGCCTCGGCCTCTGCCTCCTGCTGCTGATCAGCGATCTTGGCCGTGTGGCAGCCCAAAGTGAGTGATCCACTAGCATATATATCCCCCTATCCACTGGGTTCTCAGCTGTCTAGTAACTCCTGTTTCCCAGGAAGCACGGGCGGCAGGAATGTTCTGCGACGCAACTACACGGGCAAGAAGCCCGTGGTCATCCAGCACCTCTCCCAGGATGCCGTCAGCTACTACGATCATGAGAATGTGAGTGACGACGTTCGCCAGAGGTTGTACAGATATCATACGTATATTCTGTGTGTTGCAGGGTGCCAAGATAATAAAGTCCTCGCACTTCGAGCTGGACTACACGCTGGGACGCAAGATCACCTTCTTCTGCATGGCCCAAGGTGAGTAGAGTGGGGTTTGCTGCTCACTGGAAGGATTTATAGAGGCGCGTATCTTTCCCAGGCAATCCACGGCCCACCATCACCTGGTTCAAGGATGGAGCCGAGCTCTACCAGCATCGCTTCTTTCAGGTAAGACTTCTTTCGAACACTTAGAGATCACTCAATTGACACTCTGCTGGGTCTGCTTTAGGTGCACGAGTCTCACATAGAGACGGATATTATCAAAAGTAAAATGGAAATAGATCCCACTACGCAGATGGATGCGGGTAAGTAGTCATGGCAGTGTGGAACAAGGTCTATACCCCCCATATCATCTCTCTTTCCGTCCATCTTTCAGGCTACTACGAATGTCAGGCGGATAACATCTATGCCATCGATCGTCGGGGCTTTCGCACGGACTATGTAATGGTTAACTTTTAGCACCGTAAAGCATTAAAATGAAATCTAAACTTTGAATCCAGTTGAATCCAGCTAAAGTTAATAAACAAACAAAACAAAAAATGTATAAAAATACTTTTTTGCGTCTCATTTCATGGAAATTTAAATTCTATTCGTTCACGACCTTATGCCTCATGTGCCTCATGTGCCTCATGTGCCTCTCTGTGTTTGCCTCTGTCTCCGGCTCTGTAAGGGCGCATCTGTATGCGTGGCCGACAAATTGGCTCAATTACCTAATTCAAATGATTTTTTTGCATTTATTTTATTAAAATGTGTGAAAGCAAACCCCACACTGAGAGGCCCACAACAGTGGCTTTGAAATGTCACCCCACAGGTGCACAGTGGGCCGAAGGCTGGCAATAATTGTAGAAGGCAAGGCCCGAAAAAAAACCTTCATATTTAGCAACAGAATTAGGCATAAGGAAAGCATAGTCGAAACATCTTTTCCATAACATTTCCCTTTCAATGGACCCTTCCCCACTGTGCCATTGTCCGAATCCCAGCGAAAAATATCAGGAAAAGGGGTGACAAGAGCTTCCCATTTGCAAACGAGCGCCCAAATCAAATCAAGCGATGAAATTGAGTGTGGAATATGGAAGTGCAGAGATGAGGAACCATATCCCGGGCCAAGTCCAAAAAGATTGGAGAGCGCAGATTCCACTACTGCACAGTCCACGGATTATATGGCGACGCCAATTGTGGCAAATTACGTGGGGCAGGCAGATCGAGGCATCGAGACATCGAGGCATCGACCAGGGCCCACAGCAGAGTGGATCAGTCGCCGAGCAGACGAGATTCGCACAGCACCGTCGGGCGGAGCCATCGGAGGAGTCACAGAGCACACACCGCACACCACACATCGCACCACTCATAGCACCACACGCACAATGCAGGTCAAATGCCTGATCATCTGCCTCGGCCTGGGCCTGCTCATGCTGGGCACTGGTCCCGTGTGCGAGGCGCGGCGTGCCCGTGGTCGCGGACGCACCAAGTCTAGGGTCCAGATCGGCCTGCCCATCACGGGCAAGTACCGCGATCCCGAGTCCGATCAGTACTACAACAACAATAACGTGAGTTGAGTGACAGTAGTTGAGTGAAAGAAGATCACGAATCGAATCTGCGGTTTCCTGCAGGGAGCCAAGATCTTGCAGGCCTCACACTTTGATCTGGAGTACGTGCTGGGCCACAAGATCGCCTTCCTGTGCGTGGCCAAGGGCAATCCGCGGCCACACATCACCTGGTACAAGGACGGGGCCGAGATCTACCAGCACCTCTACATGCACGTCCACGAGTGGACCATCGGCGATGACAGGGTAAAGTCCAAGATCGAAATCGACCCGGCCACACAGATGGACGCAGGCCTCTACGAGTGCACCGCCGACAACATGTACTCCATCGATCGGCGCAGCTTCAAAACAGATTTCTCCATCGCCTTCGACTGATCGACGGTCGGAACCGGCCGAATCAGTTCGGGGCGTGGCTCCCTAGGCTTAAGCAATAAAATCGATGCACATAGCATACAAGATGTAAACCCTAGCGTTTTTTTTGTTTATGCTTACATCAGATCCCGCTTGACAATGTCCACGTAGTCGTGCGACCTCGCATAGAAGCCGCCCTCCGAGAGTGCGCCCCAGAAGTTGCTCCACAGCTCGTGGTATTTGGCGAACAGCGGCGCCACAAATTGCCTGCAAAAGAGGGGGCATCATTATTTTTCGGTGTTCAGAGTTAGAGAGTTCAGCCGTTCAGCCGTTCAGCCGTGACCTACTTGTTCAGTTTGAGCAGTTCGCGTAGCACTTCGCCATCATCGATATGGGCATCTCCATCAATGAAGAAAATGTAGTCGCTTTTGCGGAGCTTGGCTTGGTCGCTGGAATAGAGAATAAATCAGCGTAAATATTGAACTATTCTTGGGTTGAGGCAAAGAATGTGAATGAATATGCCTTAACTCTTGGATAATTATGTGACTGTTCAGAGTCTATAGTCTATAAAGATCAGAAATTATAATTTAAATGTGCTCTGAAAGAGTCAAAAAGACTAGTCGAAACAATAGAAGCTTTCGTATATTTTCCCTAGGAAGCACCGCTTGTAAAAATAACGTCTATGTCTGAATACTAATGTCAAGGAAGCTCTCTCAGATCTTAAGACATTCCCACATCTGCTGAGTGAATGCAGCCTTCTCTATCTTTGGGAAGAATCAATCCTTCAAAGAACTAAAGTATATCCATTCAAGCAGTTCGAGTACCATCCCGTAAGAGTAATTTCTGGTTTCCTTAAGCACTTACAAGGCCAATTGCCTGCCTTGACGCTCGTCCAGATTGTCCGTGGAGAGAGTGTACTTGGCACTGGCGTATTTCTCGCCATGCTTGTTCACAAACGACTTGATGTCCGCGTCGTGAAGCTCCACATTGCTGTAGATCAGCAAATGGAGGTTCTGCTTGGGGTAGTTGATCTTCTCGATGCCCTCGAGGAATTGGTCAAAGAAGGGCACGGCCATGGGGACAATCACAGAGAGGGAGATCACGGGCAGATGTTGTTCCTGGAGGAAAATTCAAAGCTGGATTAAATCTACTCTGTTCAGGAGATGTCTGGCACTTACATCCAGTTCCAGGAGATACTCCTGGCAAACAGTGCAGATGCCGTTGAATGTTTTGGCCAGATAGTTGCCGTAGGCATTCAGATCGACCTTGCTCAGTCCGTTGCCATGGACAATGGCGGGCGTGGTCAGAAAGTTCACGTTCTGCAGGATGCCCTGGTTGCTCTCGATGTCCACCTTCAGCTTGACGTCGTTCTTGGCGCCGTGCAGGTTCTGGAACAGGCGTGACTGCGTGTCCAGCTTCATGCCCAGCTTGGCCCGCCTAGCCTCGTCCAGGAACACCTTGGTGTAGTACAGCTGGTCATCGTCCATGTCGTCGATGGCCTCCTCCAGCAGGGCGTTCACCTGCGGGGCGTAGCCAATGAAGGCCCCCGAGTTTAGGAAGCGCGAGGCATTGCCCTCCACCTCGGGGTACGCATCGGTCAGGCTACTGTCCGGCCAGCAGAACTTCTCTGCGGAGAAGAGCAGCTTGGCCTTCGACTCCTTGAACAACTCTACAATCTCCTCCAGCTTGGCGGTGATGATCACATCATAGCTATGGAAAATAAGGGATTGATTCTGGTTTCTGCATAGCTCTTTGGTACCTTCTTACCTGTCTGTGAAGAGTACGATTGTGTCTTGTTCATCCTTCAGGGGTGCAACAGCTTTGCGAAGGAGATTGACTTTGAAACCGCCTCCGGGATGCTGCATATCACCGCCCTTCCAGTGCTCGCCCAGGCCCAAGGTTGTGACCTGTTGGTACACAAATCTTTTAATTGGATTCACTATCTTCTTAGACGAGAAATATTTCTCTAATTTTGTTGAATGTGATTTGGATCCGGTTCTTAATTGATAGCAAGATCTTTTATAGATAACCCCGGATCATCTTGGTGTTTTCTCGTACTGGTATGTGGTTCATTTCCTTATTTAATTGATTTTTAAAGGCTTAAGAATCTTTAACCTTTATAATCTTAGCAAAGACTGATATATCATAGAACTCCCTTGGAAACCATTGGCTTTGAAAGGTATTTAAAGGCTTTAAAGGAGACAATGTTGCTCCAAATGTTGATCATACCAGAACAAAAAGATATAACAAAGAAGCAAACGAATAAATGGAAGCACATACAAAACATGAAACCCCACTTGAATGCCCCAACTCCGATCCCCATTCATTCTGCAATCGCTTGGGGCTCACACAGTTCTCCGAATACATAACGAAATCCAAGACAAAGGGGAATGGGGAATGGGGGATGGGGGTGGGGGGTGGGGGGGCCATGGGACCATCAGGATCGGGCTAATCAGCAGATTTTCGTATTCGTATTCCCTTCGAAATACCGAAACATTCAGAGAGCGGCCTGACAAAATCGGGCAAAACAAAACCACCATCAGAAACTGTCAACGTTTAGAGGGAGCAAATCCCTGATAAGCAGAAGTCAAACCCCCTCTGTATGTGGAAGATGATTGGAAGAAAGTTCTAGAAACCGAATAGAGACGAATCTCTGTTCTAATAACCCCCGGCAACTGCAATGGGACTACGTGATTAATGCCCGCAATCGGGCCCGCAAGCATGAGAATCCGAATAGGAATACGAATCCGAGTCCGAATTGGAATCGGAATTGGAATAGGAATTTAAACATGTGTGCACTTGATGTTGCCGGTGCCCCACAAGTCCAGCCAATCTCTGGGGTACACATCAGATGCCACGCCGGATGCTTGGCCGCATATAGTGTACATATGTGCCCCATAACTCGTACATAAAACAATACAAAGTTATGAAAGTGTGCCACAGGCCGACAACCGGCGATTCTTCGAGATCTTTGGAAGACCACACAGCACAGCACAGACCCGAATCCGAACCCGAACCCGACCCCTTATCTGTCACATATACATATGTATGTACCATGTACATACATATATAGTATAGTTTGTGGTTTTAAGACAAGTTTTTATGAACAACAGATTCTCCAGACAGACGTCAAATTAGAAATTCATCAATAAAAACAATCAGCTCTGATTTGCATGCGAAAGAATTGGTGGCAGAATAAATTTTGGTTTATGCTTTCGATTCCTATGATATTCTAAGGAAATTTATGAGATTTATAAAGAATTATTGGTCTTTTTTAAGAGAGTACTACTCGTGCTGAGGAAAACCTATTGATAATTCCCTCATGAAAGTCTTCATGATCCCTATGTCCTCTGGCAATACACTTTCTATTTTTATTAAATAGGATTTTCTTGGTCTACGAGAATTTCCACCAATTGAAAAGTCAGCTCGTAATGATTTATATAAGGAGAAATACACAAATTTCTGATGGAACTGCTTCTTTAAACAGTTCTAAAATAAGAAACTGCTCTATAAACAACCCCTTGATCCACCCCATAAACATACTTTATGGACTAACTGTGCGTCGCATTTGTTAATCTGTCGATTCTTTTCTTTCTTCTGGAACTCATAACGGTTCTTGCGAAACCGCAAAGCCGATGCCAAGATTTTAGATATCGAGTGCAAATGAAACTAGACCTGGGACTAATGTGGTCCAATCTACATAGATGCTAAAAGTAGTGTCTTAAAATATACAGAAATATCTCACCTTAACGTCGTAAATGCGTGCAGAACGGATATAGCGGGCATAGCCATCGGTGGGTTCAGTGGCCACCGTGAATACTTCGACCTTATCTGCGGGATTGAGAGAAGATTATGTGGATTAGTGGATTGGCTTCATTGAATTGTATCTGAGGGATCTAAGGCGAAGCACACAAGTAAGATATTGGTTTGACGAGTCTTTTTGATCGTTTTGGCTGATTAACTGGTTTATTTTGCTTAATCAACGGGTTGAACGCGTTTGAAACAAGAGAATAATGAATTGAGATTCATTAGAATCTGCTATTTCGGTACCGATCCGCATATGTGGATGCTCCTGCCATGCAATTCCAGTGTGAACGGCCCCATACATCAGACGGAACGAAAACCAGAACAAGTGGTCGCTATAGCGACCTAAAGATACCTCTACTTTACAGAAATGTGTGCCCAGGACTAGTCCAATGTCTTCGTAATTAAGAAAATTTATAATTTCTTTACATTCGCGGCCTAAAGGAACCCTTAATCTGCCCCGCGGTATTACAGCAGATCCTGTGACTCTGCGATTGAATGCCCATCCAATATACCCTTCTGCTGTACAAGTACAGGGTGCTGGCAGCAGGATGGAATGCAGGAAGGCGGGGCATGAGAACATAAACAAAACCACAGTGAGCGATGGGGATGGAGGAAGTCAGTCGCCTTTGCATACAATATAATTTTCCATGTCGACTAATTCGAGAGATGCTCTCACTCATTGCAGTGCAGTAGAAACAAACCATTCAAATTGGACTCTGCTGCAGCGACGTCGGCAGCAGCATCTGCCGCTGCGCCTGCATCTGCGTGGGCTCCTTGCGACGCCAGAAGCAAAAACAATACGGGCAGCGCTCCAAAGCGCAACAACAATGTGCGCTCTTGTTGTTTTTGCATTCTGCTGGATTTTACGGTTCTGTTCACACACACAGAAAAAAAAGAAACTCTCACACACACGCGTGGAATAAATTTGTTAGGCACTTTAGACAGTAGGGATATGAAGCACTTTGCGTTATAATTGTTGCATTTTCTGTTCCTTCAAGTGCACTAGATTTCAAGTGGAACAACTTTTTGATTCGAGCCGAACCCAAGAACCCCAAAAAGACGAATGAATGGACCCAAAGCGTCCCACTAGCAGGGATCCGACGCCCGCATCTCAGCTGACGCGTCAGTGTTGCAAAGCGAGCCAGCGATAGGTCGATAGGCATGGAAGAAACTTCGAGTAAGTTTTGTTTGTTTGGCGCGCACTTTAAATTTATTAATAAATTCAGTGCCTGTCGACCTATATATATATGGTTACATGGGTGAGAATACACATAATGCTATTGTACACATACTAGTAAATTTATATTTACAATTAACTGAGCGACAAAAGAAAGAACAGTGTGGTAGGGGAGTTTCTCGAGTGTACCGTGAAAGTCGTGTCCGTTCATTATTTTAGCTTGCCATCGCGCCAGAAATTGAGCATATATATATGTATATTGTCTCATTTGAACAGGTTGTATCAAAAATAAATGGCATAACCCAACAACAAAAAAACACTAAAGCCAAATATGTAATCGTCTTCGTTCCTAGAGAGGTGGTATCAGTTACGATGCAATTGGGGCCCAAACTCGGGTCCCACTGCCTACAGCATGCCGAAGCCCTTGGAGTAGTTGATTGCCTTCAGCAGGCGCTCCTCCAGCTTCACCTTGCTGCTGTACTCCGGCAGCAGCAGGACATTGAAGCAGGTGTGCGAAGTGGGCAGTCGATCGCTGTCCGGCCCGTGACGCGTGATCAGCAGGCGCAGACACTTGAGCCCCCCGACGGGCACCCGGGCCGATCCTGTTGCGAATTCGAGCAGCTTGCGCTTCGACTCGTGCGGCATGGCATGCACAATCTTCCAAAAGTCCTTGATTATCTGCGTCTCGTACGAGTAGCCGCCCTCGTACTCCGTGGAGTGCTCCAACTCCACAAAGTCGAATTCCTGCAAAGCCCAAAGAAAAGCTTTTAGCACCATTTGCTGCTCGTTGAGAATTTGTTAGCCTAGGGTACTCACGCGACTGCCGCAGACCAGCATCTCGATCTCCTCGGGACGGAAGAGCAGCTTCAGCGGCGACTCGTCGGTGACCATCTCGAAGCCCTTGCGGAAGGAGTTGAACTGCTGCTGAATATTCTTGTTCAGCAGAAAGTCGGCGTACAGGTCCACAAACAGCTGCTTGTTGTGCTGCCCGACGAGTACCACGTCGCCGTGCGGCACCAGCTCGTGCTCGACCATCTCACCGAACACATTGGTGTAGCTTATCTTGAACGTCTGATCGAAGACTTCCTCCATGTTCTCGCCCTCAAAGTCGAGCAACGACTTGAGGCTCGAGTACAGCATGGGACTGTAGTCGCGCAGATCGCAGAATGTACCGCGATAGCCCAATAGCTTGCGGTAGACCACCATCGGGAAGTTCACAGCCAGAATCACGTTATTGTAGATGGCCAATCCGATGATGATACCAATCAGAGTGAATTGTGCCCCATTCTCGAAGGGTGTGGCATTGAACCTTTGGAACGAGGGACGAGGAAACATGAGAGAGGGGCCACATGAATAGCAGGGGGCCTGGCACTCACCACATGTTGTTGGTCTCCTCCTGCTGCAAAAACATGCCGAATGCCGGATTGAAAATCTCCTCAACGATCAATTGAAAGAACTCTTTGGATACGCCGCCCTCGTCGATGCCCTGCTCGCCGACAAACTCCACGACTAGCTGCTTCTTGAGATCCTTTGGATTGCTCATGGCCACCAGTTCCAGCTGCAAGAAAAACCCCACAGTGCCACCTGATAGATTATGGATCTTTCAGTAGGGTTCTCCGAGCCGTTTGCTTACCCCCACGAGCGCATCGTTTATTAGCTGATCGCGTCGCACGGTCAACTTGAGATCCGGCCGGTGGATGGCATCCGGCCCGTCCTGGCCAAAGTTGTTGATGAGCGAATAGAGCGTGGAGTAGCGCTCGCTGTACATCCGCATCCGGCTGTCGTAGTACAGGGCGTCCACCTTGGTGGCGGGCGTCAGGATGAATGCGTACAGCATGAAGGAGAAGTAGTTGCTGGAGCTGGAGCCCACCTCGCTCTCCATGGCCAGCGACTTGTACGAGAGGTAGTCGTGGTGCATCTGGATGTTCTCGCTGAGCGCCTCATTATAGAACTCCTCGAGAGGCACCAGCGGCTTGCGGCAGTCGATGGCCGACACCTTCAGCATCTTCTCCATCTGGTCCTCGGCGAACTTGGGCACGTGGGGATGCCCCACCTGGTTGTACAGAAAGAGGTCTTCCTCGGGGGGCACACCGTCCTCAGTACTGTCCTCTTCAATCTCCGCCTGTTCCTCCAGCGACATCCGACAGGAGGGACGCTCCAGTTCGCTGGCCAGAATGTTGGCATAAAACACAATCTGCGGATGGAAGCGGGGCATGAGCAATGGGAAACCTTTTGCGCGGGGCGGGGCGGTGGTTACCTTCAGAACTTTGGTCACGCAAATTATGTGCTCGTTTTCGCGCATTGCCTCCTCGTCTAGCAGGACCTGGAGGGTGATCTGCTGCTGGCAGGAGGCGACCAGCGTATGCAGCTGGTCCGCGCAATGCGCCGCCCATATCCGGGCCAGACGCGCCTGCGCCTTGACGGACATGGAGGAAGCTGCCAGACACAGCTTGGGCAGCACCCGATCCAGGTAGTCCATGTTTTTGGCTGCGTGCAGAGTAGCGAAAAGGGCAAAATAGCATATCAATGGAAGTCCTCCACCGATAAGTGGCTTGGGGGGCTGCTACTCACTGTTGGTGGCCAGGTCAAAGCATATGACCAGACAGTGGATGACCTTCTCCCAGTCTGGGGTGTACCGCCGCATGTAATGGATCCAGTCCGCCAGCTGGATGACGCTGCTGGTGAGCTTGTCGATGACAGTTCGCGATTTGGAGGCAAACAAGAGTTGCTGCACGCGTCGCAGTCCTTCAAAGTCCACCAGAGTGTCGCTGCTCAGCGATAGATCCTTCAGCTGTGCGTTCGACGTTGACTTGGGAGCCGGCTCCATGGGCACATCCTCATCATCGGCATCCTCCGGCCCAGCATCATCGTCATTGTCTCCGTCGACGTCTGCCACCGCTTCGGCTTCTGTGTCCGTACCTGCCACGGCCTCCATTGCGCCTGCTTGCTGAGTGCTGTCCTCGTCTTTGTCGTGCTCTCCCTCCAGTGTGCGCAGCTGCTCCTTGTTCAGGGGCTCTGGAGGCTTGGCCAAGAAGATCGGCACGCTAGCTGCCGGTGTCTCCTCTTCTTCCGTGTCCGGAGTGCGCACAAAGCTCCTGCTCAGTCGTTCCACGCACGAGAAGACATCACCGACGGCCTGGTAGAGCTTGTCATAGCTGTCCGTCTTCACACACTCCTCGTAAAGGGATATCAGACAGCTGGCCTCCAGAGATTTGACTTCCGAAAGATTTTCTGTTGTGCACGCTCCAGAGGAGGAGGAGGTGGAGGTGGAAGAGGCGGGGGCAGGTGCAGGTTCAGGCGCAGGTGCTGGAGCCACCAGTTCGGGCTGCTCCATTCGCGGCAATGCTGTCGCTATGGGACTTGGACTTGGACCGGGCACTGAAACCGATGTTGGACCCGGAGAACTTTGCGACTGGGCGCTGGTTGTTGTTGTGGTGCTGGCGGAGGTGATGGTGCTGGTGGAGCTGTTGCTACTGCTGCTGCTGCTGCTGCTACTGCTGCTGCTTTCGTTGGGGGAAAGCATGTCGATATCATGAGGGCTGTCGGGTGAGGGACGGATTAGGCGGAATAAGCGAATGAATGTGAGGATCCTACCTGATGGCTACTGGAGCGACACGCTCCGGTTGCGGCTCGAGTTCGGCTTGCGGTGGCGGTTGCAGTTGCGCAGGATTCACGCACAGCCGGGCATCCTGTGAGAATAGCTGGAGTGCGCGGGCCGCCACCTCGTTGGGCGTCATGGGTGCCACCCTTCCGCTGGACGCGCAGTTGATGTTGGTGCACTGCTCATTGCCACATCCGGACTGCAGCTGGTGGAAATAGCGCTGAATGAGGGTGCGCACAGTCGAGCGTTTCATCTCCGGTGTGGCCTGCCCACCGGGTGCCGTCGAGGTCGACGTCGATGCACTGCAGACGACAGAGGAAATCGAACAGTGAAATGGTTTCGGGGTCTGGGATCTGGCATTATGCATGGGCGCACAGCACCGAACTCACCTTGAGACGCCTGGCAACGGAGACGCAGACGGCGACGGTGACGGTGGCGGCGACGGTGCTGACGAAGTTTGCCGCGCCATCGGTTGATGGTCGCGTTCCTCCCCACTGTCGCTCATTCTACGACTGTTTCCAACCGTTCCACAATGTTACACTCCCGCCCGGACTCGACGACACGGTTCTGCGAACTCTTTGGGTTGCGTGCTGCCTGCTGCCTGTGACCAAGCCGTCTCCTTTGTGTGCTAAAATGCGATGCGAATTATGCACAAAAAAGGGTGCAAAAAAATCGATGTTGATGTCCCTGTCGTTCTCTCGCTGCTCTGCTCGAATTATTGTTTGCTATGACCTCTTTCCCGACGCGGTGCCTCTGCTTACAGGGCATTGGAAAATTATCTTTTGTCGTTCTATTCACTATTTTCTCTTTTTACAAAATATTTTAAAATTTTTACTTTTAGCACTAGACAGAAGTGTGTTTATAAGTCGCAAGCCAGGCCGAAATTGAAAATCATCAACGACAAGTATTTCACAACACTCTTTGGCACTAACAATACATATGTGATGTGCCAGTTTTTAAAACGTAAACGTACCAACCCAATTTGAAGTGAGATCTCCCAGGTTCCTTCGGCAAGCTTATTCAAAAACTATCATAATGTCTACAAAATTTAAAGTAAATTAGCTCTGAATTCATAAAATGCATGCAACGCATATGCTACAAAAAAAAGGAGCACGCATACACTCAAATACGCTGGGACCTCTAATCAAAAAGGATATCTCATGAGAACTCTCAGCCAAAACTGAGAGTTCCCAGAGTCGAAGACCGTTCGTTGCATGAGTGCAAGTGCTGCAGAACGCACGATACGGTTTATTGATATCGCCGCCAAGTCTATCGATTTTTCAAATATGCTTGGGGATCGTTTGAAAGTAAGAAAATAAAAGGAAATAGTTACATATATTTTTGTAAGCAAAGTAGGATGTGGAGAGAGTTTTTGTCAACTTATAAAATCATTGGAGCTCATGATTTCTGATTCAACAAATATATGGTTCGAAAACCCAAATTATTCGAGTTCAACGTATTCCATTTTTTCGTGAAAAAAATCAATAGCAAATAATAATAAGTATAATTCACACCAATGCCCTGAGGCTATAATAACAACAAAAGGTATTTTAAGTTCGCATTCTTCTATACAGATATCGCCAGTTATTACTTGACCTATCGCTAGTGCTGGAAAACTCCAAAGTCAGACGGTTTTTATCAGCTGTCGCTTTTCCTCTTCTTCCAAATAAAAAAAATATATAATAAAATACAACGCAACGGATTGCAAGGAAAACGATAAAACAAGGAAAAGATTAGAGCAGTGCCGAGAATTGTGAAGTGTATACGATGGAATGAGTTAGTCCAGGACCAAGAGCAAACCGAATCCAGCGGCTGGCAACAAGATGACGGAGAAAGACGAGATGGCTAACGGCGGCAGCAACAGCAACTGCCAGGCCCAACTGCAGCTCTGCGTGCGTGGAAATGTGTCATGGCAGCAGCTGCCCGTGCACCTGCGGTCGGTGCTGCACAACAATCAGCGCGACTACGAGAAGTTCGTGTTCAACTACAGCCTGAAGAACCAGCTGCGCTTTCGGGGAAACCTGGCCTCCAAGGTGTTCCGCCAGGAGCAGCGCTACTACGAGCTGCTCATCCAAAAGAACATCAACGGGCTCGGGGTCTTCCCCTACCACCTGGCGGACATTGTGACCAAGGGACTGCGCGTCACGCCCTTCAACTACTATCTGGACGTGCTCAGCCAGCTGCTGCGCAGCGACAAGAGCTACGACACGCTGCCCAACTTCACGGCGGCCGACTGTCTTCGGGTCCTGGGCATTGGCCGCAATGAGTATCTGGGCCTGATTAGCGATCTGAAGACACACACCACGCGCACTCTGCTCTTCAGCGCCAAGCCGAATCCGCAGGACTTCTTGCCGCGCTTCCCCGTGCAGGTGCACGTCGAGCCCTGGTGGCGCCTAGACATCGGCTTCGTCCTGGAGACGGACATTCGCTTTGTGTCCTCTCCGGAGCGCAGCTTGCTCGATGACCTCATCGATTTCGGTGCCCAGCCGGCGGGCAAATGTGACTACCATGTGGTGCACAGTCTCTACCGCAAGGGTCTGATATATCTGGACGTGCCCATTTGCGGGGAGGATCGCATCTCCATTCCTCCCCTGCGGAACTTCGTGATGAACCGCGTTAGCGGCGATTACTTTGAGAATCTGCTGTACAAGATCTTCGTGAGCGCCGACGAGCACATGACCATCGCCGAGCTTGCCCACATGCTGCAGTTGGATCTGGACTGCGTGAAGCAGGCGATTTCGTTCATTTGTCGCCTGGGATTCGCCCATCGCAAACGCGATTCTGGACAGGACCAAAACCAGCAGTCCAACCATCCCAGCTGGGAGGGCTACAACCTGCAGCAGGTGCCAGAGACGCCCCAGATCACGCCACTCAACTACAACCTGCACGCCGGCAGCTTCGACTTTGACCAGCAGCAGCAGCCGCAGCCGCAGCAGAGCCCCAAGTCCCCCAAGACGCCAAAGGCAGCGACACAGCCTCAAGAAAAGGACAAGGACAGCAGCTCGATTGGCTACCTCTCCTCGGATGGGAACACGAGCGACTTTAGCTTTGCCAATCTGAACACGACTCCCACGGGAACTGGCCCAAACGCCAACAACAGCGACGAGCAGGATGTCAGCTCCGAGCTGGAGGATGTAAGCGAGCGCACCACAACCATTAATTCCAAGATGCCAATGGCAGCGGGTACGGCGGCGGCGGCAACGATGGCTCCTAAAAGCGGCAAGCGCGTGGGTTTCCTGTTCGACTCGACGCTCACCGCATTCCTGATGATGGGCAATCTGTCGCCGGGGCTGAAGAACCACGCCGTGACCATGTTCGAGGTAGGAAAACTGTGCGAGGAGAGCATGGACAGCTTTCTGACAGAGCTGGAGCAGGTCTCGCTGCTGGACGCCGAAGGAGAGGGCGATGTGTCGAGGTACTTTGCACATGCCGTGATCCTCAGGTCAACAATCTGCTCGCTGCGACATCTGGTGCCCGGCGGTCTGGACCTGTTGCGGCTGGAGTGCCTCGAGGGGCTCGACAGGCAGACGCGCGATCGTGTACTGGAGAAGAAGTACAAATTTATCATCTCGGCCTCGCCGCTGACCGCTTCATTGAGCCACACCTTCAGCATTCCGTTCTTTGGACAATTCCTGCGCAGCTCGGATGTGGCGCCCATGTGGTGCAAGCTGTTCTTCAACCATATCACAGGTGCGGCAAATGCAATAACTCCCCCACTGGCTTTATTCTATATATTTTCTTACATTTATTAACAGGCTATGGTCCTCCCAGTTTGCTGCTGTGTCGCGGCACTGTGCTGAAGACCCTGCCACGCCTCTTTCTGGGCTATGGCAAGCTACTGGTGAACATTCTACACTCAGACTCGTACGTCCTCAACTCGGAGAGCTTCCGCAATCTGAACGAGCAGTTGAAGAACGGCTGTGTGCTGCTCCAGGGCTATGGGATCCGCTGTCCTGGCACCCTCCACTACGAATCGTTTCCATTCCAGCCCTCTGATGGGCGCCAAGTCAAGTGGGCGGCCCATAGGGCCATCCAGAAGCTGAACGCCCTACTGGACCTGCGCCAGCAATGCGGCTACATCACATTCCTGAACACGGGCGTGCCCGATCTCGGCTGCGAGGAGTACGAACTGCAGGTGAGACTCAAGCCACCGCAGCGCAAACGCTCCTCGCTACCAGCCAGCAACAAGCTCATCAACCAAGTGCCAACCAGTGAGGCGACGACACCCGCCACAGAGCTGACCAGCTACCAGCTCAAGAGTCCCGACGAGAACCACTTTGCGGCCACACCCGAGCATGGACCGGCCAATGAGTTTACGTCGCCTGACTGCAGCCAAGTGCTGGCCAGCGAGCTGGCCAAGTGCAGCCAACCATCGCGTCATGCCAGTCGCGCCGACCTGCTCTCGCAGAGCTCCGTGGAGATACCCATTGCTATGGAGGACGGATCCGGGGAGCCAGAGGCCTCCACAGAGGAGTGGACCCTGCTGGACGTCAATTTCGGTGTCCCGCTCTTCGATGTGGACACCAACACAAGAATTTGCGAGCATCTAGTGCATGGCCTGTGCAGCGACTCCAATCTGGAGGTACTATCCAACTCCGCCGAGCAGACGCGGGCACTTTTCCTCGAATTTGTGCGGCAGTGTCAGTATTTTGAGGAGGATTCATCGACGCCGGAGCAGCTGCTTCAGCCGCTCCAGGCGGCCAGGCCACTGCCCCATCCGCGCATCAATCTGGCTTTCGAGAACGGACACGTATGCTATTGGAACGGGCGTTAAATTAGTGTATCCCCCCCAACACAGCCCCCAGTACATGTCCAGTCCAGCTTTTAAAGAGTATTCTGTGTACTTTCCAAGTTAGTTATCAGTTCAGTTTCTGTACAGTTCCAAGAAGAGACGCGATAAAGCGCGATAAAGCTTTTACACAAACCCAAAAACACACACACACACACATCCCAGATATATATATTTATGTATACGTATATACCGACTATATATCCGATAATACAGTATGCTACCCATCAACCAAGCTCGGCATTAGTCAGCGTCAAACCCAATACGCCAGAAGGTTTTCGTTAGTTTTTTTTATTATGTATTATTATTAGCTCTGTAAGTTCTGTTCGGGGAGACAACAAGATTGGCAATATGCCTTCAGAGGCATTGAATCCTGATACCAACATACATACACACGAATGTATGCATGCATGCATATATAAAATGCATAACTATATTGAAATATATATGTATATGTAATTGTGTCTGAATAAATGCAATTTTAAAACCAAAAACCCATCACCTTTCCATCTACACAGTCTTAGTTGCACTGAAAGATATGCTCAATCAATATTTATCTTTACTAAATTTGAAACTCATTTTTTTTATGTAAACCAAACAGAAAAATATTCTTGTATTAGTGCCGACCACTGCTTAGTTCGGGCGATATTTCCAGCTTGCATAAGCTGCTTGCCACGTATCGGTATCTAATGCCATTTCGTGTTAATAATTTGTTTCTTGTAATAAATAATTAAGACGGGCCTTAATGGGATTAATAGATTTGAATTGCGCGCGCATAGTGGGACCATTGTGCGATCGATCGTAGTAATATCATAAAACTCGAGTTCCCGAGCGCAAGAGCAGTGTTACCAGATAACCTTTTTCACATCACATCTAGCTGTTTCCAAAGTGAAGTAGCGGGAAACAATTTAAAACAGCGAGCAGCGAGAATTCTAAATTTTGAGGTTAGGGATGGGGAAACGAATCGACTTTAATATACTCACATTATCTTTGAATACCAAGAATAAAAATAAGAATTATCAATGAATTGTTATAGTCTTTTGAATCCGATTTTTGATAGAATTCCAGCTGTTTTTAGTCAGGTTAGCTTAAATTTTCCGAAAAATACTGGCAACACTGGAGAGCGCAAGAGAACGACAATGACACTGAGACTCTCTTTCTGATTGGCACAACAAAAATCCAAAACTTGCAATTCCTGGCGTCGCGTTTCGCGCTTTTACAGCAAGTAAATTCATTTTGTAATTTGAAATATTGTGCAAAAGTGTAGTTCGACACGGGCGACGGCTCTGGCAAGAAAAAAACGAATCAGTTGCAGCTAAAAAAAGGGAAAAATATTCAGTGAAAAAGTCAACAATGAACAAGTGCACACAGGGGCGTAAAAAGAAAAAAATTCACGGGCCAGCAAATGCCAATACAAAATAAATTTGTGTGTGGTGGAGGAGTCAAAAACGGAGGCGAGAAAGAGCGAGGAGCGCGCGCATTCTCTCTCGTACGTGTGCTGTGCTCTCTCTTATCATTTGGGCGGCAATTGTTCTTGCTTCTGCCCACACTTAAAATTTTTTTTTTGTTATTTTCAACATATCATATTTTAGATAATTTTTTTTTGTATTACACCTGTTCTCAAGTGGCAAAAAAGAGCGTGTACAAGTGTTTCAATTATAAATAGCGTAAGCGACGCCAGCCCAAGGCCACCACCTGTCGAGTGCATTGTTTACTCGAGCGTGAATTGGCCGTATCCATTCGTTTGCATAAGTCATGCTGATTTGATCGTGAATATTCATTCGATCTGTGAATCCTATTCGTCTTGCAACTACCAGTGGCTTAATTATCTTCTATAAGATGGAAGTTTCTGGCCAAAACAATCAATGCTGCTTCGTGAGAGCGCACAGTAAGAGAGAGAGAGAGAGAGCACCAAAGAGAGTGATTTGTGCTGCCAGACTGTTCAATTTAGTTGCAGTTTTTAATTCCTTCATTTCCTATTACTCCTATATTTAATATAAATGCGTAAGCGTCGTATTTATTATTGTTTATTTGCGCCAAATATTGGATTTGTAATTTCAGCCCGTATTTTATGGTATCGTTATGTGCGGTTTTCTTTTATTTATAATGCATGCACGCGATATTTAAAAATGAACCAAACAGCTGTTTGCTATTCGCTCTCTGTAACCATTGTCGCGTGCTCTCGCTCCCTCTCGCTTGTCTCTCCCTCTTACCATCTCTCTCTGCACTTTTGGCCATCACACGCACACACACTGGCACAGCCCCAGCGACGTTTTGTTGTCTGTGACTCTTTCTGACGCCGTTTCTTTTCAGTCCTAACTGTATTAGCGTGAGTAAGCTTTTGGCCGGACAGACGAGCGCGTGTCTAGTAGAATCGAGAATCGGAAAATTCAGAAGTGAGAAACAGAGATAAAGCCAAAAGTTCATTATCAAATGCAACAGAACGAGCGGGACAAAGAAGAAGGGAAAAGAAGAGTGAAAATTAAAAGTGAAAAAAGTCCGAGCGGACGCTGCCCTTGAATTCGTGCGTGTGTGTGTGTGTATGGGTGTGTTCGAGTTGTTTTTTTTTTTGTATTTTTGCGTGCGTGCCTTTGCTTCCAAAATTGTTCAATGTAAAAATAAACATTCGATTAGGTTTTTAAAACAAAAGCAACCTTGAAAAGGCACCCAAGAAGCATCGACGAGCGGGCAGCGCTCTTTCAGCTTTTGCTTTCGACACGGCCGCGGCTATTTTCGTGTGAAAGAAATGCCTGCCCTGCCGCCTGAATCGCCTGAATAGCCTGAATAGTTTTCCCAAGTGTCCAATCGGAAAAGTATTCGCAGAACAATTGGAAACACTCGCGCTCGTGTGCGCCTTCCTTAACCTGAAACTCGTTAATTTTCCGAAGCGGTTGCATCCTGTGTAGAATCGTATTCTTGAATTTATGTAACCTTCATCTCCTGTCCTGCCCTCTACTATCCACAAGGCAAAAACAACGTTCAGGAATTCGCAGGAGCACCCCTCACGCACAAAAATTTGGTCGCAGCGGTGGTGGTGGCAGCATGGAGTAGAAGAGGCACGCCACGCACGCCACAAAGGAGCAGCAGCAGGAGCAGCCCGGAAGGCGGCGCAGGAATGAAGCGCTAATGAATTAACTAATTAAAAAGAGAAAGCCGGCGCAAATAGGCGTTAGCCCGTCATACAATCCGTTAGAGAAAACCAGATACATTGTCTCCTGAAATAGCATCGATAGACACGGCTCCGTGGCTCAGAATGACATCATACGCAAATGACACAACGACGACCACAACCACAGCAGCAGCAGCAGCAGCAGCGGCGGCTGCCGCAGCGACTGGAGCAGGAAATGCAGCAGCAACGGCAGCAGCCGGCGCAACCCAGGCGGGCGTAGGAGGCGTGGCTGGTGCAGTTGAATCATCGAAAGTCAAGGCCAAGAGCGGGGATACCCTGCGCATTGGCCGTGGTGGGAGATACAGCGACGAGGACGGCAACAGCTCTGATGGACGGGAGAAGGCCGACACCACGCCCGAGAACATCAAGAAGATAGCCGAGATCATGGACCAGACAGCGGATAAGGTTGTCTCTGGGCCGGCCACGCCCCAGACGCAGCCTCCGCCTCCGCATTCGCATCCGCCCCTATCGCCCCGCCATCAGCTGCTGAGTCAGGTGAATCCGGGCTCTGTGGGCCTGGGCGCTGCCATCGATGAGTCAAGCGGCAAGTTCTGTCTTGGCAAGCCGCCGCCATCGCCGGCCGAAAAAGGTGAGCAAAATGGAAGAAGCAGCAGCAACAACAAAAACAACAACATTAACCACTTTGACAATTGGCTAATTTGCAAATGTTGTTGTTGCTTTTTTTAAAAGTTAATTTGAATTTTTAATGAAGTTATTTTTTGTGCGAGGGGCGAGTCTTTGGCCACGGCTAAGCGCAAATATTTATTGCAATAGTCATGCCTGCTGCCACACACACAAACACAAACACACACACACACACACACGCACCTTGATTGTGTGTGCACAGTGGGACAAATTCTCGTTTCTGTTTGCGGGAAAGTGGAATGGGATCAACAGCCTTCGCAGCGCGGAGGCAAGTGACATCAGCTGTGCCTTGCGATTTTTTTTGTTAATGAGAATTTATGGCATTTTGCGACAGAAGCAAGGAGTCGTCCAATAAGCCTGCGTACAAGTACAGTGAAAGCTCGCCTGAGGGGCGATGGGTGAAAATAAATTCCATATACTGTGGGAGTACTCTTCTTGTTTTCGCCTTAAACAGCTTTCACTGTCTTTCGCACCAAATGGAATATGCGGAAACAAGACGTATAGAATGGAATTGAGAATAGAGAGTGAATGCTCTGCAAAGAAATCTGGTATAAAATAAAGATTTCAAAGTATTGGAAGAGTGGGAGAATAATTGTAGAAGATTCAGATTTTCCAAATGTTGGAGCAATCTTGAGGACAATCTATAAAGAAGCTCATTCTAAACTTCTCCAAATATGCATGTTCTCTATAGGTTCTCTAATCTTCTGAGATTCACTTGTTCTGTTTTTGTTGATGAGATCATTGAGCTCTGTTCCAAATCTATTTCTCGTTGGGCGGTGTTCTGGACTGTTATTTCCCTGTTCTGTAAAAAGTCAACGAGCAAATGCCCCAACAACAGAGATCCTTAAAAAGGCAACGCTGCAATAAAGAAACGAAAATTTCCCCACTCGAACGCAGCAGCGGCTGCACCAGGGCCTGTTAAGGTAAACAGTTTCCATAATTTGGTTAAGAATATAAACGAAAACAATTTCAATATTCAGCAGATTGCCCGTGGAGCTGTGGAAACATTTGTGTCTAGGAGATTGCCAGCCTGTTATTTGTTTCCAACTAAATATTTGTGTGTTAATATTTATAAGCCCGACACAGACAACAGGCAACATTCAATGGTGTCTGTATCTCAATAACCTCCAATCGATCAGCGATCACCGATCACCGATCAACGGCCACCGTCTGTGGGTCTGTGGCTGCCGCGCTGAGTCATCCCCATCGAGCGACAGCCCCGCTCCCCGAACAAGTCTTGTTTTTGGCGAATGAATTGCGTGCATGGAATATGTGGAATGAAAATGTTGTGTGTGAGATAATGGCCCGGCGACTGCTGAAATTGTGTAAGATTTGGCAAAGCGCAAAGCCCAACAAAACTGATAGCAGCAGCAACAACAAAACGCCAGATGTGAAATGCCACATTTATGAGAAACAAATTGGAGCACCCACCTTGTGAAGGAAGGTGGTGATCTGGGACTGGGACTGGGACGGGACTGTGTGCTGCCTTGAAGTACGTGTACCGCTGACAATGGGGCCAAAAAGTGAGCCAAAGTGGATTATGTCATGCGGGGGACATATGTATGATTCATTCAGCCGCAAAGGGGGACTATCTATGGGTGCCTTTGTTCTTTTGGGGAAACGGTCAAATGGCTGTCGCTTTGTTATGGATATTTCCTTTCAAATGTCTTATTCCTTTTGCGAAAATGATCAGCTATGATCGGCTATCGACTGGTTGTTTTCTAAACTCTTTTATCTTTTATTATTCCCCGATTGCCCGATGGCAAAGTACAACAATTGATAAACCCAAACCATATGGCTTTAGATATACTGTATATGTTGTTTATGTTTTCCCTGTACCTCTCTTTACCTATCAGATCCGAATCTTTATAAATGTGGAACATTAATTCTTGGCAAGCCTCCAAAGGGGGGCCCTCCGCCGTGGCCTTGTTCCCAAATTGATCGTGTTTAGGCCTGCTTAATTGGTTGATCAAAATTTGGGTGTTTCTTGTCAGGGGAATGTCTTGGGAAATTTGCAGAAATATTTCAAGAATTTCGTTAACCTAAGGTGTCATAAAAAGTGCCACAAAATATAAATAAAATGTAGAACTTTCTATATTTATTTTGACTAGAAGTTGTGTGGGATAATATCGATATTCCACATTTAGATGTCTCTGTCAGAAGACTGTGGAAGATCTCATTGAACCACTTCCCATCAAAATTCTCGTTCAACTCTCGAGCACTCAAAGAGGATCTCAAGTGTATAATGAAACACCCCACACACGCACACACAGAGCAGCACACGATAACGTCATCAGGCCAGACAATCATCGATAACAATAATCACGACAAACGACCGCGAGTCCGATGACCTCATTCAGAGATGACAGATGATGATGCCGATCGGCGGACGGACGCTTTCTCCGCTCAAAAGATATTAATATCCATATTCCCAATAACATTTATTTAAATGTGAAAAGTGAATTCATTAGGCGATTGTTTTTCGAACAGCGCCACAAAAAGTGGAACTAAAAACCGAAGCAAAATCTTTATGATTGAATGGTCGCGCATGACGTAAGACGCGCACCAATGCAATTAGCAAACCCAATTAGAAACCAATTGGAGCGACCATGCTGCTGGCCTGCCCCTTCGATTAGCAGCGTGTGAAATCGTTATCGATCGTCGTCGCGATTACCGCAGAGCTGCATTCGAAAATCCCACCATGAAAACAAGCGATGGAAAAGGCGGCGGGCGGTCGGACGGTATCCACTGATCGACTTTCCAAAACGGCAACAAAACAGCTAAACGAAAAAACCAAAAAAAAGAGAAAAAAAAATACGTATTGCACTGTAACTACGTTTTGTTTTATTTATTGCAAAAAAGTAAAAGCGATACACAAACCCCAACAAAAGACTCGGAACGGGCCACTACGCGGCAATGGCCAACAGCAATAATAATAATAATAATAGCACTCGCAGTAATACTCGACATTTGTGCCAACAGTTTTCAATTGTTGGTTGGACGGATGGAGAGTAGGAGAGAGACAGAGGCAGAGGACAGTCTATAGAGAGGAGAGGGCAACGATAACTCGACTGCAGAGACATTTTATGGCCATGCACAGTGGGCAGCGTAATTACCGTTAGTCGGTACACCCATTGCGGTCTATTGTCTATCGGTGATCGCTCGTTCAGCACTGTACATTCGAGTGTTTCCTGCCCAATTAGTAGATTGCAAATTTAGTGATCTAACAAGCGCATAATGAACGCCGTTCTACTTTGAATCTAGAAACCAAGCCAAAACGAATCCAAGTAATCGTTGTAATCGAATAATGGAGGTTCGTTGAACCGATTCCATGCGATTACAGATGTCTCTTGCAGTAATATCCCTCTGATTGGATATGAAAAGATTGGATCATTCAAGATCATTATAGATAATCTGTTTCCACTCTGGGAATGCACGAAAGGTGCATTCAAGGAAATATTCAAGAATTTTACTTCTAATTAGAGGAAGCCCAAGCGGAAGACCTAAAGGGAATATAATAAGTAATATTCCAAAAAGAAAAAACACAAATGGTCGAATGCACATCAATCAAGGGCTAAAGTTCAAGTGTAACTAATTAATTTTAAACATTTTAAACATCGGAGAATCTTTGCTGAAGGTACAATTATTTTAATGATTTAATATGTGCTTTTAGAAACACGAAAACAAAATGAAAATGGGATTTATTAGAAGGATAATTGTATGCCATTAGGGTTTGAATATGATTTTCGGGTAGCGCTCGTATCGGATGGGGTTTAAAGCCAACAAAACTTCGGAAGTTCTACAGCCGTATGATGTTCTGTTCAATCCCTCAGAATGTGTGTTAAAATAAATAGATAATTAATGTATCAACACTTGGGAATACCTTTGTTACTCCCCAGTGAAGCGTAATAATAATGGCGATATTATCACCTTGGCTGTACGTTTTGTTGTCCATCTACTTGGCCCATATTTGGGTTACCCTGATTATTGGCAACAAATTAACGGCAATAATTATGGTTCGCCCAAATATGGTTATTGATTATTCGTGACCAGAAACTACAGAGACACAGATACAGATACAGACGGAAGCACACACAGACGAATGTTGTGAATATTTTGAAATCTATTGTTGGATCGGACATCTTGCAAATACAATTCGTGGCGTACCAAAAACTGTTTCAAACGAAACGGAAGCCACCTGCAAAGCGGAGCCAAAGTCTGGCAGAGCGTGAAACTTTTGTTACCGGACCCCGCACACACCCTTACCCGTACCTGTACCTTCCCCCGAAACGTACAACTCGAAACCTACAATTGACCGAAATCAGCGAACTCTAACCTTCACTTGGGTGGGGGGGGGGGGTGCCTACATATGTACGTGGACGGACACCCTGCCATAGATCACGATTCCGAGTGGCGGCCCCCTAGACGGTTGGGCTTCCTCGATTCTCTCTATAGAGGCAGGCGGCGGCATAGAGAGTGTGTGCCACTTGACGTGGCAAAACCTGAAAGCAAATTGTTTGATTTTCTTCTTTGCTTCTGCTTTTGCCGCGGAAATGTATAGAAATTTACGGAACGGAAACAGTGGGGGATCGTCGGGGCCTGCAGGTGGGCGGTCTGCTACTTTCGGGGCCCTACAATCGGATGAACTTGAGCCCGAAAGCGATGTCCATCCGGGCTCCCATAAAGAGAGCGGGCCAAATTAAAGCGGGCCTTAAATGGCGCTAAAGAATCATTTCATTAGAAAATAGAACATTTAATTGGATCTGTTCTTTAAAGGAAGACATGCACATATAGGGCAAGGGCTTATTTCCCTTAAAACTAGTTCAAACTTGGTATAATATATACTAGTAGCCCTTGGCTGTTAAAAGTGCTATATCTACCACAATCTGCACTACAGATCTCTCGTTTGTGGCAGAGGTTTAAAGAAAGGCATTATCTAAAGGGCTTTCAGCTTTTATAATGATCGGATATCGTTGAACAGGTGTTATTCCAAACTGAGGGGGCACCTAGGGTGCAGCTACACTTCTAACTCCCTTCTAGTGGGCGCCCAACACCCTCAATTGATCAGAACCGTTCCTGGGCTGTATCTTTCTCTGTTGCTTGCCACTTTATGTTGCATGGAGTTCACTTTAATTTACTCTTGCCGCTTAGTTTCGTTTTCACCGCTCTTAAATGGTAATAATAATAACTGTGAATAAATGCTAATTAAATTGTTTGTCTGCTTCTGCTTCTGATTCCGATTCCGATTCTTCTCTCTCCGTTGCAGCGGCGGCAGCACAGACCAGAGCGAGCCACCAGAAGCATCAGATCGGGCACGCTCGCTCCAACAACAGCAACAGCAACAGCAACGACAGCAGCAGCAGAGTGTGCGCCGGCGAGGCAGAGGAGGAAGACAACTCGACCGAATCGAACTCAACGACGACTGCCACGAAGCAGGCCCTGGCCTTCACCATCGACCACTTTGAGGCCTCGGAGAACGATGCTGCGGCACAGGCGGCCCGCTACAAGACCATGATGGAGCGCTTCCAGAACCGACACAAGCGTGGGGCCTCCATGTCCAAGCTGGAGACGGAGAATGCCACCACCACGACCGGGACGAACAGCGGCGGCGGCGGCAGTGGAAGGCACTCGCAGAGGAGCAGCCTGGACGCCGGCAGCAGTATGGCCGACGACATGTCCACGCCCACCTCCGAGCAGGCGCCGCAGGTGAGGCTCCGAGTGCGCGAGAGGAGTGCCTCCCGGGTGCGAGACGCCTCCAAGCGGCACAGCTGGTCGCCACGTAGCTCGGGCACTACAGCCCCAGAGCCAACGCCCACGAGTCGTCCGGCTAGCAAATCGAAGCTGCCACCGCCGGCCTCTGCCAAGGGAGCCGCCAACCAGGTGGCCAACCGCACCGCCAACCAGTTCACGCCCCGCTCCACCGCCATGCAGCTGGCCCTCAGGCATGTGGAGATGCTGTGCCCGCAGCCACCGCTGGCCGATGGCAAGCCCCTCTCGGAGGACGCCGTCAGCGAGGCGGGCACCTACACGCTGGACGGCGACAACTACACGGAGGAGCAGAAGGATCTCATGAACATCGACCGCAATGCCGCAGCGGCGGCAGCCAAAGCCGCAGCCGCAGTAGCAGCAGCAGAAGCAGCAGCAGGAGCCGCGGCGGGAGTAAAGATGCGCCCCAAGCAGCTGCCGGTTAAGTCGAATCGAGGCAGCAATGTGCTGGAGGTGAACTTTTACCACGAGACGCCGCTGCAGGAGCACCCGCCGCAGCACCAGCAGCAGCAGCCACAGAAGAGCAGCACGGGTGCCTATCTCGATCAGCTGAAGAGTCGTGTGCTGCGCCAGCAGGCGCCCCTGTCGCCACCCACTCCGCCCTCGCCGGCGGCCGATGTGGGCTGCTTCACCAGCGTCACCACCAGCGGAGTGCTGGCCAAGCAGCGGGCCCTGGACACGCATCCCAACAAGCTGACGCGCCACAGCCACAGCCACAGCCTGTCCACGTCGCAGATCGACAGCTCCGAGTACGTGAGCAACGAGGCCAAGCTGCGCCACACCCAGGCCCTGTCCGGCTCCGCCACGGATCGGCAGAAGGCCGAGTACCGCCTCAATGTGTTCACCACCAGCACCACCCAGCAGCAGGCACCCCATCAGAAACAGCAGCATCACCAGCTGCCGGAGACGCCGCCCACGCCCACACAGAGCTCGGACACGGCCCTGATGCAGACCGCGCAGACGAAGCAGGACTGGATCCAGGAGTGGGCGCGCAACGCACGGGCACGCAGTCTCGCGCAGGATGTGAGCGGCACGAGTGCCAGTCGACGCCAACAGCAGGCCCAGGCCCAGGCCCAGGCACAGGTGAGCCATCATCAGGGGGAGTATCAATGGGGCTTATCCCCTCCCTCAGTCTTTTCCTGATTAATCGTCTCGAAGAACTCATTTAATTTGCTAATTTTTGGTCAGATTTTAATGAGTGAATCGTCTTTAGCGAGGGCTTAGATTTCAATTAATTTGGATTACCTCTGACATTGATTAAGTGAGATTCGCGAACGTAAATCTGAAATTCTAGACTGCGATGTTAAGATCTAGAATCGTAAAGAAATCATCTAGTCTAATGGTCTGTGTAAACGAGGGTGTGATTCATTTTCAATGAATATATGGCAATCATTGTTCACTAATGTAATTATCTTTAGTAATGAATGAGGATTAGTTATCGCAATCATCAGATTCTATTCTATTGAAACTAAATCGTTTCTTAACTAAATTTTAACTAGTGGAATCTTTTCTACAGAATGTTTCTTTCATGCATTCATCATACATATATACTACACAACTGTATTTAAATGCAGCCCTTTCAAGAATTTCAGTCCACAGTATTAGAATCTGTTCTGGAATCTCTAATTTTGAATAGTTTTCGGAATTTCTTGGCCTTCTCCCGCGTTTTCTACATGAAATGTAAAAACGAAGACAATCTTAGCAGAGACACGAACCCATGCACATTCTCATGTAAAAATCATGTAACATTTTCATTGGCAGCCCCGTAGCACCATTTTAACATCCAATGGATAGTCCTGACGTGCATGAAAATCCTCTCAAATCAGACAGTCATTTAAAAAAAATACTTGAGAAGAACAAATATATGCAACTTTGAGTCGAATGCTTCGCCATGGACACATGTAGTTGGGATGTAGATAAGTTGTAGGGAAAATGGCAACTACATTTTAATTTAATTCTTCTTTTCGGGTTAATATCTCCGTTTTTTATACGTTTAAAATGGCACGGCATGCCTCTTTGTCAGGCCAAGAATATCCCTAGTTTATGGGGATCAATCTGTGACAAATATCTAAAGCAAATCAGCTGAAATGGACATGGAATAGGAGCAGTACCTCAGTTCACACCTAATAAACGCTTTCGTACCGCTCTCTCTACCCGAAACAGCAACTGATGACACGCAGCTACAACTGCTCGGACACGGGCGGAGATTCGCTCACCGACGACAGCCTCAGCCTGTACAACCAGCAGCGACAGTATGCGGCCGCCGCCAAGCTTAATCGCAGTCTAGCGGAGCGCTACCGGCTGCTGGGCGACTGCGACTACGCCAGCGATCCGGCGTTGTGCAGTCACGGGGGCGGAGGAGGACTGGGGCCGGGGCAGGCGGTGGAGCCGCCGTATAAGCCGCCCAAGAGCCCCAGCAAGATACCCTCGCCGCTGCACACGCTGGGACGTGGGCGCAGTGCCAGCCGGTCGCGGCCGCAGACCGATGCCTATCTGGAGCAGACGGCGGCGGCCATCAGCAACCTGCAGCAGTCGCTGTCGCGCAGGAGCTCCGTTAAGTCGCCGGCACAGAGCAGTCCGCAGCACAGCCTGGAGGCAGGGGCGGGCGGTGGCTACCGGAGATCGCCGCTGCACCGGGCGCTCATGACCAGCAGCATCAACGAGGCGCAGCTGCAGCTGCTGACCAGCGGAGAGTACCTCCTGAAGCAGCTGCGGCGCCGCAAGAACTCTCTGGACGATGTGGAGCACGTCGAGCACTTGTACCGCCACGAGCACGCGTACGAGAAGTCGCCGCCTGAGGCGGCTGCCCCGTTGTCGCCGCTGCGTCGATCGAGCAGCTTCCAGCAGCAGCAGGGGCAAGGGCAGCATCCGGTGCGGCAGGCCCGACCCAACTTCCAGAACCTGTACACGCCGCCCGCGGCCCGTCACGCCCACGCCCTGAGCATGGTCCAGCAGCTGAAGAAGTCGGCGAGCAGCAACAACTTCGACCAGGCCTACAGCGACTACGACAACGAGCTGCAGTACTACATCAACGACGAGGACGAGCTGGGCACCACCGGCGCCTACTACTCCAGCAACGAGGAGGACGAGGTGGAGGAGTCCCAGGGCTCGGTGCCGCTCACCAACACGCGGATGAACAAGGCCCTGCTCATGCGCATCGAACGCAGCAAGCAGCGGGTGGCGGGCACCGGACAGACCCAAGCCAAGCCCTCCTCAGCGCCGGCTGGCAAGCTAAGCGCTGCCCAGGCCGGGGCAGGCCTCGTGGCATGCCCCAACACGCCCGAACTGCCGCGACGCGGCATCAGGAGTGCCTCGCGGGCGGCTCCCGGCTCTGGGCCCAAGACCCGCCAGTCGATGCCGCGCGAGACGAGCTTGAGTCGATTGGCCCAGCAGGTGCCCAGCTCCCTGGCCAACGCCAAGAAGCAGCTGCTGCAGACGGCCAACGCCAGCGTGGCTGCCGGTGCCAGGGAACAGCGAGTGCAGCCCAAGTATATGGACATTTCCAAGTACAAGCCGGCGCAGTCGAACAGCTTTCTGCGGAAGAACGACGCCAAGAGCACGCTGAAGCCGTCGGACCAGATGAAGCGCAGTCCCAGTGCCAGCTCCATGGGCCTGAGCCGGGGCGAGGGCACCCGTGCCAGCAATCGCAGTGTGCGGAGCACCGTCTCCGCCATGAACACCAGTACCACGTCCCTGGGCGGCAGCAATTCCGGTAACCGGGCCTCTTCCGCTGCCCGACGAGATGCCTCAGGTTAGTGGATACTTTTTGCACACAAATTTCCCACAATTTCAATAATACAATACAATAATGCTTGAATCTTTCAGTTAACAAGCAAAAGGAGGCCGAGATGGCCATGTGGAAGCGTCGTTCGACATACGACCCCATGAAGGCGGCAGCCGAGGATCGTCGCAGGAAGGAGGAAGCGCGTCGTGCCCAGAACCAGACGCAGAGTCAGCAACAGATGAACGACGAGGCCGATGAAGTGCCTTTCGAGAGGTAATTTAGATGGTCCGCCAAGTGGCAAGGCGTCTAAGGGTTTCGTTTCCCCCGATTCCCACTCTAAAATAGATCATATCTGTAGGTGATTCGACTGTGTTAAACCCCCAAATCGTTTGTTCTTAGTCCAACCCCTCCCCGAATACTAGAGTGTTTTGTTCTTACCAAGAGGTGTTTTTTTTCTAATTATATAAGAACAAGGAATGAATACTCCAATTAGACTTTTTATATAAGAGAATCCAGGCACAATCGTTTACTAGTTAACGTCAGGAATGAGATTTGTCTTAGTTCATTATAGACTTTTGGTGTGAGAAATATTACCTAGCGAAGAAATAGCAAAGAGTTTATACTAGTAAAAGCAAGCTTCTAGAACAGTTCCTTTTTTGAAGTTTTCTTTACCTTTTCCTAAATTTTGAACAGATCTATATTCCCTGCATTTGAGGAACCCCTTTAAAAGGTATCAATGCAATGTTTTTGTGTCTTCAGATAACCGATTTGTATCAACGGTACTCAAAAAGTTTGAGGATATATTAGTTTTGTGGTGGATGTGGATGTACATAGATGTCTAGATCTCAGAGACCATTAGAGTTAGAGCATTACATGTTTTGTAATATCACACTGTTAGAAGTGTAAATCTGGGTCATACACCGTTTTAAAGAAAACAGAAAACGCAGTCATAGAAAATTACCATATCTACCAGATTGGATCATTATTATAGCCAGAATGAATAATTTAACTCCTTCAACGGGATTACTCATTCTCTCTCTTTCTCTCTACCTCTCTCACTCTACCCCGTGCGCCCTCTGGCGGAGGTAAACGAGATAGCCATACAGTTGCTGGTGGAAAAAAAGAGATAGACAGATATAGCGGAAAAATGGCAAGAAATAAAATATTTTCAAATTCGAATAAAATTGAACATTATGTATTGGGTGAAAAGGGGATATACGAAGTGTAATCCTCTCTGTTTTTACCCTCTCTCATGACATGTTCGAACTAAATTGAAATAGTTCCTGTTTGGGAACAGCGATACCAAAAGACAAAGAGAGAGAGAGAGAGAGAGAGAGTAACATATAAAATATATAGTATAGATTACATAAATCATAAATGTATAAGAGTATAAGAATAAAAGTATAAAAGTCGAGCCGCGGCCCCTGCCGCGTTACTGAATTTTATGTTAGAAAGGAGAAGGCTTCAGGTACTAAGAAATAGTCTCATGTTTTACTAGTAAAAGTTACTAGTTAATCTAGTTATACTTATAAAAAGCGTCTTAAGTCGCTCTTTTTGTAATCTCCTAACCCTTTCCTACATTTTTGAACAGATCAATACTATTTTCAATTGAAGAATTCCCTTAAAAGGTATCAAGGCATATGCCATTAATGTGTTTCCTATGAAGATATATGTAGCTTGGAATAATAGTTTTGCTCAGACCATTCACGAATAATCTAGACAGCTCTTGAACATCAGGTTTCTCTCATTTAGATCCCACTCAAATGTCAATTGTGGCGAATACTTTCCATACTATATTTTCGCTGCTTAGATATCACGCATCATACAATATGTAGTACTCCTCCCAGAATGGAGGGTTTCAGATGCCTAGATTCATAATTATTTATTATCTCAATACATTACGTTTCCCTCTAGTATATATGTTAGCTTTAAGCAGACTCTGTTGAACTTTCTCGATTTGATTTGTGATTTGTAACATTATTTATTTTGGTTCTTTTACCATTAGCCTAAGGTTGTGGGTAATATCGCGGCTAGAGGTAAAGGTGCGTTTCGGCCATAGCCACTCAAGTCACTTAATACGTATAGCTATCCATATAATCCTAAAACTACTACTCTACATATATCTCTCATGAACCACCCTTCTTAGCTTAGATACTTATGATTTCGTTTCGTGCCTTTGGTTTAATCTCAGTAATCGCCACGGAGCTCACAAGCAGCGAGCGCTGTATCTGTATCTGAAATCTAAGATCTGTATTTGTATCTGTAACACCGCTCTAATAGGAACTAAGTCGTAAATGAAGCAACATTCTGTAATTATTGTTTCGCTAATTGATTTCTTTCTCTTTTAATTTCTGTACACCCAACACTCGACACCTACAACGAATCGAATCGGTAGACCATCACGCTCTCACTATCGCCGTGGACAGTTATGACCTGCGGAGGGCGTGCTAGTTACCGACTTCTGAGACACCAACCAAAAGAACACAGACCACAACCAAACCAAACATTCAATCAGCTATCTTTCCACCAACAAACCAAGCCAAAAAGAAAAACCAAATACTTTCCACTACCAACACATGCCACATGATCTAACACCCACACACACACGCGGTGCAAGAGCAGAAGCAGAAGAAGAAGCAACAGCAGCAGTCGCAGCCGCAGCAGCCTGAGAGCCACAGCAGATTGGGACACTAGAGGCAGTTCTAGTGCTAGACACAGTCCGCACCAAATCGAATCGAATCGAATCAAATCGAACAACGATCTATCTATCTATCTCGTGGTATACACCAAATACGATTTTCCCATGCAGCATGCAACATGCTACATGCTACATGCAACATGCAACGACAGCAACAGCAACAACGACAACGACCCCGAGAAGCCGCGCTGCCAGCCATGGGCTGCCAATGTAATAGAGAAGTCACTCAGAACAACTGTTGTATAAATACTGTTTGACTTTTATGCATAAATATCCATCATTTTGTTGCTGTTTGCAATTGTGTTGTGCAATTGTCTCTCGACCAGTTTGTTCAGTTCGTTCGTACGTTCGTCAGTTCGTTAGTTTCTTTGTCTTGTGCGCGCGGCTTTCATTTGATTATCTTTTTTTTTCGTTTTTGTTTTGGCTGAGCAACCGAATCGCAAAGTGCTCTTGAAGATCGAAAAGCAATAACCAAACTGCATCAGCTCTAACTTTACATAAATGCATCATGAAAAGCTTCCATTAATATCTCATGGTTTGAACTCTGATTGGCCTGCAGAATAATGGATTGAAGGGGGGACACTTCTGAAACTATTCGAAATTTGTTCAAATTCAAATCATTCAGTTCCCAAAGCGATCTTCCCTCTGCAACTCTTCTAACTATCTAACCAGTTAACCAGCCAGCTAGCCACATACGAATGTGTATAGTACATCTAGTTTGTTCCCTAATAATACTAAAAATTTGTTGTTTGTTAATTGCTCAAAACTTGTACAAATGTTTGTCCTGTTTGTAACTTAACCGACATCACATCTACCACACACACCCCTAACAAGCTAACACTCAAAGCCATAACCCATAAGCCATAAGCCATAAGCCATAAGCCAGCCAGTAGACCAAGCTAACAACACATACTCACTCAACCAAGCAGCATACCCCACCCACATACTAGACAAAGATTAAACGCTTTCTTTAGACCTCTCCCCAGAGGTAAACCCACCCGATGATCGAGTAAATACACATAACACCCATCCAAATTGTTTGCATTTCCAACTATATATATACATTTAGAGAAGCTATACTACAGTAATATCTGTTGAATGAGATGGAAATACTAATCGCAGCTCTTTGTGTTCGACAGTGTACTGCGCCCAAACAACAATATGACTATCACGGGCGGGGGCCACGGCTACAGTCCTCGAAACTCTGTGGAAAACGACGCCTGGACGCTTGGTGAGTCCTCAGAGTATGGCGAATATGTGGACGACTACGATGAGAACGACGAGGCGGAGGCGGAGGCAGAGGCAGACGAGGAGCACGACTATGTGGGCCAGGAGTCCGATGACGTGTTCGAGAGGGAGTCTGCCGAAACTGCGGCCCAGGGCAGTGCCGAGTAGGCCGCAAGAACAACAACAACAACAACAACAACAAAAAGAACAAGAACACAAAGCGAAACCAGCAACAGTGATACATAGATTCGATATATACATAACTATATATACATATATATGTACAACATATTGTATTTCTTAGAGATCGATGGAACCTTCTCTGAGTTGGATCATACTGCACATACTAGATCCTTCAATCCCGGCTCATTCGATTTATTTGTACTTTGAATGCCGCGAGTATCATCGAATAACCAAATAAACAGAATATGCTTAGCGATAGAAAGTTAATGCTGTCCAAAAATGCCATAAACAGAAATGCTTGTTCAAAAGAAGAAATTGTTCAAAATCTAAACAGGAAACCGTATTAATTGTGAAAGAACAACAGCATAGATTATAGCCAATCGATTCCGTTTCCGATAACAAATTCAAGTCTCTTCAGTCTTCAATTTTGCTTATGGTGCAATACACACACTCTATGAAGGAAAACTAATACTCAGAAGTGGCCCGGCCCAGCTATTGTCAGCGGTTCGCGACCAAGTGCTACACAAATATTTGTATTATAAGAATTGCTGATCCCCCATCGGGACAACGGACCACAAGGAATTGAATTAATTTGTAATTTGTGCTAAGATCAGTTCTCTCTTCGACCGGTTATATGCTTACAAGAAAATGCAAGGAATTAGTTCATTTTGTCGTAGGATTTTGTAGTTACTCATGAACTCATGAACTCATGTCTGTAGGTTTTTTGATACACTTATGTACGAGCATGTATGTATGGTATGTGCGAACAGAACACGCAATGGAAGGTAGCTTACATAACTAGTTATGATACGATCTAGTTTTATATATGAACATGCAATGGAAACACTAGTTGTACTACATACTACATATATTGTATGTGTATGCAGAGATCTGCATAGTATATTTATGGAGCATATGTGGTATTTGCTTTTAAACTAACTAAAACTAAATTGTTTAAGTTTTTTTTTTATTGTTTTCGAAACTGCAAAACAGAATTAACATAGCAGTCAACCAGTGGTGTCGGTGTCCATATATATTCGCAACTGCTCGTGGCCTTTTATCTGGAGTCGTTTGGGTGGGATAGCAAAATAGATTTTAACCGAATAGAACTGAAGGATTTATAAGTTATAAGACGGTCCATGGAATATCGTTTAAAGATAGTTTAAAAAATCCAGCACTCAACAGATAATGTCCTGCCATTCGGAATGTCCATTGATGGGGTTTCCCGAGCAGTTGCCCGATTTTAAAACACACATCTATTATTTACTATTTTAAAGAAAATTTAATTTTAACACAAGGAAAAGTAAAACTGATCAACAGCCGTCTATAACATTTTTAAAATTTGTATATTTTAAGTATTTAAACAATGATGAACGAATTGTTTACCGTATTGTGTCCTATTTCTTGTTATTTGATTTCGCGAATATTTTTAGATAAACAAAAATAAACGAATGAAAAAAAAAATACTATACACATTTGCCAAATACAGTTTTGTTTGAATGGAAATTATTGGGAAAGATCAATGAATTTCGCAGTTCTACGAGGGTTCTAGGTTACTGTGTGGCCTTCAAAAAGCTGAATAGATCAATGTATAGATGAGATATTGTTGTGCTCTATTCGTATCGTATCGACAGGATAAATATCATGAAAGTCTGGAGTAGACACCCTTGGAATTCTGTTGATATGCCTTTTGGTCACAGTTTATTGAAGTTAATCCAAAACTAACAGATCCTTGAGGGTAAGATCAATCCTAGACTCTCTCTCTCTCTCTTGCACCTTCAATGCCTGGCAATAATCCATATCTCTGAACAATAGAGCCCCCCCCCCCGACTTAGTTCAAGGCTAAAAGTGTAACAAATCCGTAAATCCGTGAATACTCGTACTCGTAAAAGTATGAATGTATTTTGGCTGAAAGTAAACAAATTACGAAAGTGGAATTTGTAAAATGCAAACTCTCAGATAAACAATATTTGAATTTTAATTACAGAACAAAAACGAAGCAAAATTTCGTTTATATGTATGGGGCATGGGGGAATGTCCGTCTGGAGAGGGGAGTGGGTGCTCTGCTGCTTGGTGGTGGCTTGGTGGCTGTGGGATAAAAAGGAAACGTCAATTAGATTTTGTGTAACATCGAAAGCACAACAAAAACAAACCAAACAAGTGGAAAGAATGATGCAATGGGAGGGGAGGAGGATACTCCACACCTACAGATACTCTGTACTCGTTTGTATTTATGTATGTATGATTAATAGATATATTGTACCTATTGTTCCTCTATAATTCATTGAGGGATCTACCAGTGATATTCCCATTTTCTATTCCCATATGGATCCTACGCTTAAGCCTTAAATACCCCCATATCTGAGGGGTAGCAAGTGTGAATAACAAGAATTTCCCCGACTCTTGGTGTGAGTGTAATGCAGAGACTGGACGGCCCCATGATGGATGAGATATATGGAGGAGTGGGAGAGAGGCAGGGAGCGGGGGAGGCCAGCAAATAGCACAATAAAATGAAGCACAACTAATTAAATTATATTAAATATAAATGAAAACAACGAGCTCCAGCGCTAAGGCAAAACAAATAAAACACCCCATAAATATTTATCAAAGTAGAAACAAAACGAAACAATTTCATGCTGAAAAAAGCAGTTTCGAACCCCAGAAATAATCAAATTAAACATTTTGCAATACAACTAGTAAATATTCAAATAAATTCGTATGCATTGGGGCAATGCTTAGCTGAAAACGAATTTGAATAAATGTTTGCGTACGTGGTACGGCATTAATGGCTCTATCAATTAGTAGTATTATTTAAATGGATTTAATCGGATATCGCATGTTTAGAATGTACGATAGGAATCACATGGATTTAAGAGCTATCGTTTCAACAATGCAATCCTACCATAGCTTACCAATGATCTAACCATTTGATCCATCGTCTTGGGCAGTAGAAGTAGAAGCAATGAGAACGGTTCTGAACGAAAAGACAAAAACGGGAGACCAAGGAAAATAATACATAAGTATATGATAACTTGCACTTCGAATTTCTTTTTCCGATCTGCTTTCTTCTCACTCGATTATTCTCCCAAATAAGGAATTTCCAAAGAATATTCCAATTTCCCACTCTCTCTTAAGCTCTTAGGCAAAAGGAGATCATGCGATCCTCATCGTGAGTATTATGTCAGTATGTACATACCCGTAACGCTTCTCTGGGGAGCTTATCAGATATTTCGTAGTCTTCCCTTTTATTTTATGTATTTCTTTTTTTGTGAGAGAAAAAAAAGAACAAAGAATTATTGAGAAATTGCTAAAGAGATGGCCAAACAAACGCTTATTAATTATTATGATTGCTATTAACCTTTGCGTTGTTTATGGATTAACACGTCTGGTTTTCTGGCTACCTCCCATTCCCCGATTCCAGCAATCCCCCCCATTTTGATTCCCATTCCCATTGCCATTACCATTCCGATTCGGATTCTGATGCGGATTCTGATTATGAAGTGCCCCTGAGTGCCTGCCCCGCAATATCCGACGATATCTCTCTCCATTCTGTTCTTGAGAGGGGCATCGTTTTTATATAGAAATGTTTGGGGTCTTTGTCTGTTTGGGCTTAGTCCGGCACTTAAAAGCGGTTTATTTATGGGCTTTTAGCATTTAGCATCCGATCGGGGCACGGAATAGCAGGATTTGTGATACCCGTACGCCGAGTCGATGGCATGGCCATAAACAAATAATGCCTAATGTGCATTAACTCATAAACAATGCAAATCATTATTTACGAAAAGTGATTGAAGGCATCGCAAAGCTTTTGGAATTTATTCACCACATTGCTGGTACTTGAGGCCACTTGGACTTGAGGCCCGTCATGATATATGGCATTATGTCCATCCCATCCCCATCCCCCATGTATTTTCCTCTCGCTATTTTCGTGTTGCGTCAATGAAGACTTTTCAGCTTTTCAGATTTTCAGCTTTTCAATTGCCATTCGACTTCGAGTACCCAAAACATTTGTCATCTGCCGCTGGTAATTATCAGCATTGCCTCTATATCATCCCTTTATGGGCGAGGGTATAATCCCAATGTACATTGGGTACCCATCTGTCCTGTCCTTCACATATCGCAGTAATTTACTTTGTAGTGAGTTAAGGGCTTTCCATCGAATCATTCGGAGGGGTATGCTTGTAGTGTAACAAAAAGCCTCTTCGAAATATATAAATTTATTGGTCAAAGCGGGGTTCTGCTCGTCGAAATTCAAGGGCATACAGTGTTCCCGCCTCCTATTGGATTTGGCAACACTGCTTCTGTCAACAGCTATCTGTCAGTTGCATGCTGTCAAAATTTGAAGAAGCTGAAGAAGCCACGAGTGACTATTTCTGGTTTCCAAACCCGAAGAAATGGATCGGCGGAATGAGATTTGATGCCAACAATGAGGTTTCCAACAAAAAAAGATGCCTATTCCTTCGACAGGGATACAAATTGTAATTGTAAAAACGTTGGAACATGCTGAACAATAAAATGATTGTTTATCCAAAAACCTGTGTTTCATTCATAAATTCACGGGCTTATTGTATAGCTATGTGGCTCCTTGCTGTTTGCACTTTTCTTCTTTTCCTTTTCTTGGCAGAAAGTTGATCAACGGAAAGCCTATGTGGCTCCAAATTTGTTGTATTTTCTATGGAAACTATAAAGCATATTCCATACTTATTCGTCTGGATAGAGACGCTTAAAGTTATAATACAAGCTGGGATTGAGGACATCGTACATGGGATGCCGCATGATGATGCGCCTGAAATGCCAATGCTCGACCAAAAGTGCCAGAATCGATGCCACGTACCCAATCCCCAGGGCCACAAAGGAGCTCCAGAACTTGTTGAGATTCATGAGAGCTTCCTGCTGGGCAGGTGCCTCGGCCGGCAGCCGTTTGACCGCATCCTTGAGCCATTTGGCTATCAGACCTGCAAAAGAAGAGTAGATTGGAGGTCAAGGAGCCACTTGATCGGAGGAGTATCTGGAGAGGACATACCGCCCTCGATCATGTGCTGCAGGGAGCTGTCCACGCGCTTCTTCAGGGCGGAGTTTTTTTCCATGGCCAGCACGACAGGCATGTAAACGACGCACTCCCTCATGATGTGCAGGGCAGATCCCACGCCTCCGGACTCATCCCCCACGCGCATATATCGCAAATAGAACTCATTGTCGTAGTAGGAGCACTCTCCCTTGGCAATGCGAGCGGTCTGCAAATCAATAACACAGATAGAGATACAAAGAAAGGTTTTCCCATTCAAGACTTTGATCGTAGGGTGATCTCATATGAGCGATTCTACATGTGATATTTATAATATATTTGGTATTGTTTGTGTCATTTCTAAAGTGATTTGTAGGCTCAAAAGACTCAAAACTTTCCCGTATCTGATTATCGCAGAGATAAGATACGATAGTAGCTGTTATTTGGAACTGGCTGAAACTGGTTTTTGTTTTTTACCAAGCTGAAGACCAAATACGATAGATAGTGCGGGGTCTGGGGTCTTTGGGAAGGCTCAAAGGTGACACGCTTTGTATTGGAGTTGTCAAATTAAATCAAGATCTTATCTGATTGATTATTTCTTGTTGGGTTCCATTCACTCGAATATTTCTGCTTACCAGATCATCGTTGTTCTCAAGGACATCCATCTTGGCGCCCACTTTCTGGGCCACTTCATCGGTGGCATCCAGAAAGAACTGTCTGTTCTCGGCCGACCCAGCCTTGAGTGGTATCCCAGAACGCAGCAGATCTTCCAGCGTGTCGATGGTTACCCTTTCCGCCGGGTTGGCCAGGATGGCGGTGAAGCTGGCGCGATACGTGGCCACCAGGAGGATGCAGTAGATCCAGTACCAGCCTGTGAGGACCCGCAGCGGCCAGTTGCGTGGCATGCGCGGCAGGGACACGTACAGCAGCATGCTGTAAGTGAGGAGAAAGCAGGTGGCATAGTCGTCGAAGAGATCGCGGTGCTTGCCCACACCCAGCGGCGGACGATAGCGGCTGAGGGCCACGCGGAAGCTCAGCCGTCGATAGGTGCTTGGGTCCGGGGGCTCTAGACGACCTCCGCGGCTCCTGCGGCAGCATCGGGAGAAGCCCCTATGGTCGCTGCCCGTGAGGATGGCGTTCAAGAAGCTTATCGCATAGAAAACAGTCCCCACAACGAACAGGGAGAGCAGTACCCCGGCCCACATGCCACCGCTGAAGGGCAGTATGAAGGTCTGCCAGGAGTTGTCCATCGAGGACTCGGGCGTGAGGAAGGTCAGGCACTCGAAATTATGCGGCAGACTGAGCTCCACCAGCCGCAGGTAGACCTCGAACAGGTGCAGATCCCCAATGGCGAACCGGGCGCTGTGCAGAGCCTGTGTGCAGGACAACATTCCAGAGTGAAATCCGCTTAGGCAGTGGAGATTGAGGTCTGCTTACCAGTTCCTCGATAAGCTTGGAGTCTATGTGGGTCTTGTTCTCCCCAAACGCATCGTCCTGTTCCCAATCCGTGGCCTCGCTACCGTTCGCTTGATAGTACACTGGCTGGAAGTTCAGGGCCTGGCCCAAAGCATTCATGATTTCCACCTCAACGCCCTGGTAGCTGTTCGTTGTGTTCGACCACTGGACCATGGGCACATGCTCGACAACGGCCACTGGCAGTGCGGCACCTGGAAATGGGAATGGGATATACTCGTAATATGGCTTAAGTTGGAGGAACATTCCGTACCCATTAGATCACTTGTATTGTCCACAAACAGAATGCTTCCGTTGATGCGTTTACCCAGCTCCCAAAGGGCGAGATTTTTCAAAGCCAAAACGCCGCTCAAAATTTCCGGAAAAGCCACAGTGGAGATTTGGAATCTGCAAGAGGGGGAGCCAATCAACCAATCGAAGCATATACTAGACCCACCTGTTATCCAGCTGCCGCTTAAGGAAGACACTGCTCACAAAGACGGTCCACAGGTGGAGCATGTCCGGGGAGAAGAGCCGCGAGTCGTGCAGCAGGAGGAACTTCCCCTGCATGTTGAGGGCCCGGTTGTCGTAGACGAACCTGAGGAGTCCCTGCACCTGCCAGCCATTGAGAATGGTGATCACGTGCAGATCGCAGTCTCTGGCCTTGATGGCACGCAGTACGAGCTCCAGTTCGCCGGGCAGCCGACGGAGATCCTCGCTGGCATTCACCCGCACCACATAGAAGGGGACCAGCCGGCGACCCACGGCCTCGAAGTAGATCCGATCGTAGATGGGATAGTGAAGGTCGTCGGTGATGACACCGAAGCATCTCTTCACGTTTGCCGCCCACAGAATCTTCTGAAGCAGCTCCTTCAGATCTGCCTGATAGAAATCCAGCGGCAGCAGGTGACGCGACAGTCCTGTCCAGCCTTTAGCCAGTGTCAGAGACACATGTGCCACCAGGAGCCCCAGGAGCCAGAGCCAGCGCATCCTTTCACCTGCAGACACACACTGGGTACCGGCCCGGTTCTCGGCTCTGACAGTTCGTTAACCTGCTTTTAGGGACATGGACATGGACATGGACATGGACACGGGCCGGGCTGTTCATTCCGTATGCAGATCTAATTAAACTTTCCCGAACTCTGGGCTCTGGGGTCGCCCCCAACTGTCAGTCAGTCGTCGGTCGGGTTGGCTGACCTGCTTTACTAACATTTAAACTTTCGACTGAGTTAGGTAATCTAATTAGGGTTTTGTGGCTGGCCTCCTGGTCATCTGGAAGGGGCAAATGTTTGGCCAACTCACGTGTTCAAGGTTGCTCGGAGTTCCAGTCGCTTGGAACACTCCTGTAATAAAGTTTCCTGAGATTTTATGCTTTTTATGGATCGTTAGCGGAAGGAATGGGATATCCCCATTGGCAACATTTTCCTTGAGCAATTTGTAGAGACGAGATCTACCATCTACCATTCGAAATTATTTTTTTGGTGACCCCGAGCTCGAACATTTTGTATATCCCTTTCAGACTGTGAAGAATGGATTCTGCATTTGGAATTTGAATAAGACCGATGTCTATTGATTGTTCTTTTGAACATCTGAAAGGGCTAACATATCGTAGCCATAAAAGCCATAACCTTCTTTAAATATGTACATACCTAACCATAAGAAAATAAATGTTTGGTACTTTCCTTAACTACAAACCACAACAGTCCTGACCGAACCCAACCTACCTGCTGATCCGATGCGATCCGCTCCAGCCTTATCCGAACTGCCAATGTCTTATCTAACCTCTTACCTCATTCTCATTCCACTAAAGCAAACAGAGCCTTATCGTACCGTACCGTATCGCAATTGAACCTACACTCGTCTATGCTTATCCATTCCAGCCAAAGAAATGCAGCCCATAGTTGACTGCAGATCAGAAGAAGACATACATATGCATTAATTTAATCACACTTAATGCCCCTCGAAGATCTACATACATCGAAAGTAGTCGTTAGTGCTGCGATCCGATCTTGTCACTAATTCGACGACTGTCCACTTCCCCTTTTGTCCGACTGCAGGCAATTGGATCGAGCTAATTTATCATAAGACCATAACTAATTTGTCTGTCCGTCTTCATTAGGAAAGAAGACAGACCCAGAGCAGGCCAGACCATACCAGAGCAGGCCAGATCCCACAGCCAGTTGTGGTGGTCGCGAAATCAGTAAATTGCGATCATCCGCATGGGGCTGACGACGGTGACTGAGTCAAGGCCCAGACGCTAATGATAATGTGGACGACGTGTCACCGGGCATCAGTCAAGCAAACCGATTAAACCAGCAACCGGCAACCAGAAGCCACATTCAAATACCCATTAATGTCGGCTTAAGTCGACTCCGAGTCCGAGCCCGAGTCGAGTCCGAATGCAAAGTGCTGTCTCCTCCTCCATCCTCATTCAACTCAACAATCAACCTACGGATGTGGATAGGTGGATGGATGGTAAGGTCTTATGCGTTGGTGTTCAGAATGAGATACACAGAGCGAGCGAGCGAGAGAGAGAGAGAGAGAGAGTCGGGGACTGAAGCTGGGACCGAGACCGAGACCGAGACTGAGGCCGAAACGGAGACCACTCTTCTGCTCTTTATTGTCGTGTAATTAACTTTTTCCGAATCGTCCGGATTTGGAATTGTTTGCACATAATTGCAATTTAATTATTTCTCTCTCTCTCTCTCTTTTACCTTTTTGTGTTTTTGTGTTTTTATGGATTTATGTTGGTCGCGCGGTCGTCTGGCCATTAGTTGCAAGGTACAGGTAATACGTATAACACCCGTCCCGTCCCGTTCCGTCCCCGTCCCCGTACCCGAAAGCAAAGCCAAAACCGAACCGATCTGAGCCCCGCAGGTAGCCCAGAAATCGATTTCCATCGCCATCCCACCGCTTCCCATGTCCAAGTGTCAGCCGGTGCCGGTGCCGGTGCCGATGCCGGGTCTGTCCTCTTAACGAGTGCATTGCATGCGATGGGAACGAGCCGGGGTCTATAGAGAGTTAGCTGAGGTGCTTTTGCTGGTCCAATGGACCTTTTATGGCCCAGATTCACTTGGTCCACGACGATCCGGTGCCGATGGCCAATACAACACATCCCAAGCGCAAACCCAAACCCAAAAACCAACAACCAACAACCAACAACAGCGGCGAGCCCCTCTGCCAGTTATGGCCAGGTCTCTTTGTCGCTGCCTGTTTGCATTGACACATTTTCTATTTTTGTTTTCCCTCGGAGATTTTCTCAGCATGGATTTATGGGTTCCTTGAGGTTTCCACCAACGACACACACATGTCCTTCTGCTCCTCGACTCCTAGCATTAGATATGCTTCTGTTCTAATTTCCTCACAATATTTTATGCGAATTTTGCAGTTTATTGTCTACGGCTTTGGCTTAGAGTGTGAAAATGTAGCAGTCCCTGTCCTGTCCTGCCCTGTCCGAGTGTGAGCGTGTGCGTGTGCGTGTGCCCTGGGAAATAATTCAACAGTTTTCCCACCTTCTGCTTATCGGCAAGTTTGCTACGGCAACAGTTTTTCCCCCCTGATTTATGGCCCCAGCTGTGGGTTCGGGTTCGGGTTGGGTCTTCGTCTTCATCCTCATACTCATCCTTGGACTGGGACTCGGACTCCATCGCATCGCTCTCTGTGCGGATGTGTGAAGCTTTTGCAGTTACTTACAGCTTACAGATGGGGAAAAATGTAATATATTTGCAAGTCTATCCAAAGTTTTTGGCTCCTCTCTTGCCCGATTAGTTCATTGACAAAAGTTCGGTTCACACGCTCCCAGCCAGAAGATATTTATCTCACTCGATTCCTGATTAGTGAATCAATATGAACCTGTTTAATATGCAAATCGAATTTTGCCAACTTCATATAAATGCGTATATTTATTCAATTTACGATATAATGCATGGGGAATCGCCTGTTAATTTATGGATTGTCCCCCCTGCAATCTATAATTGGATATTATCAAACCAAATATACGATACTCGCATGTGTGTGTGCCAGAGTGTGTGTGTGTGTGTGTGTGTGTGTGTGTTTGTAAGCCTCTTAAAATATTAAAATTCATTCTAAGTATATTGTTGGGCGTAGATTTTCACAAATTAATGCCCATCAAATGAGATTAAGTTGAATAACGTTTCCGTTTCTGATTCCTCCCCACGAAATGGTGGCATCTTAAGAAACACGTAATTAGTCCACTTAATAAGGAAGTCTGTAAAGATCAAAGTCCACAGACCAAAAAGTGGGTGTGAAATTATTACATAGAACGGGGGAAAATACATACATATATCAAAATTAATGTACGATTGCTTAAGAAAGTGAATTATTGGTGGGGAATTCTTTAAAATTGGATTTATACAATTCATTATCTGACCCCAGCGCTACAAGTTTCGACTTATTATTATTGCGTTAGTCACATTACATTTTTAATTAAATTTAAAAACTAATACTCGTTGTTCTTATCCATACATTTTTTTTTTCTCTAAGAAATATGCAGTAGAAACATTTAATTTAAAAATCGAATTTAGATTTAATTTTTTGTTTTGTTTTTAATTTTTTTCATTTTTTGATTTGCTTCTTTTATACTAAAAACTAGTATTTTTTAAGGTCTTGCCATTATAAATACTAGCTTGTTGGGAATTAAAGTTCTCCTGTCTGAAGTAAATTCTTACAGCTCAATTCTGAAACATATTAAATTATTCTAACTATCTGATTTATGCACAAGGAACCCACTGTCTTACGATATGCGTATGTACCGCACTGTGCATTGATGTTTAGGCAAACCTTACAAGTTTCTTGAATACATGATATGGGAGCACAAGCGCGATATGAATAGCCTTTAGATTCGAGCATACACGTACATTATATGTATATACTTCTACTTGTCTATACATATGTATGCAAGTACATAGTATGTATAGAAAACCCATTCTAATCAAAGTGTATGTGGCGGATGGCTGCATTATCTGACCGGTCCATTGACTATTTGAACTAATTTCATTATCTTAATGAGAACGTTATTAAATTATTCACGTTTACAAAAGCGCCGGACTCGATGCGAGCACGTTGTCCCAATATCAATGACTAATCTACGAATCTATGCACGGGGCCACACATGGGCATATACAATACTCGTATACGTACTATCCCTACTCCGTAATAGTAATATATGTACATACATGTATGTGTATCTCCCACAACTCTGTATGGTCGCTCACTGTGTATCTGTATTTGTATCTGTCGTGTGGGTATCTGTGTGTGCTCCATTGAATAAAACTTAATCAGCATTTAATTAAATGCACAGAGAATCGGCCAAAAGGGGTTGGCTGTCGCATGTGTGGGGGGGTAGGGGGTAGGGGTTTGGTCGATGGAGGGACGATTGCCGGAGGGAGCGAAATAAAAAGCGATTTCGTTGATTATGTAAATCAATTGAGCAGCGAGATAAAAACGCGTATTTTCCCCTCCTTCCTTCCTCCTCTCCCTCTCCCTCACCCACTCCTCCTCCAGTTTCTCGCTTCTTTTTTTTTTTGCTGATAAATCGAAATCGTTCTTTGGCATTATTCTGTTTTCTTTTGCCCCTTCTTTGGGTCTTTCTTTTTTCCGTTTTTTTTTTTCCCTTTTTCCCCACATTGTTTTTTTTTTTTTTTGCTCGCGGCTTTGCTGGTAACGGCTTTTATATAATCACTTTGCCAGTTGCTGTTTGCCTATCATTTTATTTTATTTTATTTTATTTCACTTTTCCGATACACTCATTATTATTTCCCAATGTGTGTGTGCCTGTGTGTGTGTGTGTGAAAATCATGACAGCGCGAGCCTCTTTTTCATGCCCTTGCCGAAGGAAGGGTATCATTGATATTTACAGTCGTATGGTATACAATTTTATTTTGACTTGTTATCAAGAATATTCAATGCCTTCCGATCAACAGTATCTATATATTTTTGGGCCATCGTCGTGGTCCAATTGGTTGGTGGCAGGGGTCTAGGATATCCCCCGTATATCATATAAAAAAAAGATCACACAGGAGTGTTTTTATAACAACTTCTGGTATTATTCGCTCTTTAGATATTGGATTCCCATCGACTATTAAACGATAAT